CTGGGAGTGAAGAGGGAGGTGACTAGAACAGTGACGAAGGCTAGAAGAGCACAGGGAGTAAACAGTTCAGGGTAGGAGGAGGGAATGGATAAATGGAGAGGCTGAGAGTGGGATGTGAAGGGTTAAAGAAGTTGGTAGCATTTGGCCATGGAAATAGGACTAGAAGTAGAAGGGGAAGCTGAAACTGTGGTGTGACTGCCTAAGACTACGAACTAGTGAGGGGAGAAGCCCAAAGGGACCATCATTCTGCAGTTTGGAGCAAGAGCATGGGCTGCCTGAGGGAAGAGCAATGATGAGAGAAGGCATGTGAAAAGAACTGGTGACTCAGGAAGAACTAAAGTATGGCACAAGGGAGTGGGAGAAAATGGGCAAAGAAGGCTGGGAAGTTGGAGATGGATATGGAGGAAGGCAGAGAAGGGAAATGGAGGCTGAGTGTCATTGGAAAGGTATGTACAGGTTACATGAAGTGCCATCTGTTTATGAGGTGTGGATGTCTGGAAGAGAAACTGTGAGGTTAGATCGTAAGGGACATGTGAAGGTAATCACTGAAGTATGGCAGGACCAAAGGGCATAAATCTAGAGGAAGTCAGGCTTAAATCCATTAGGTGAAAGAGCTTTTAATAAAGGAAAGATGTGGGAGTTTTGTAAAGGTGTGTTAAACTTTTCTAGCCTTTCCACCTTGATGTTTGTTTAGAAGATCTTTGAATGCAATGGAGAAGTCTGTTTTCATAGACTCTGGCTGTTGCCCCAAAACAATTGGATTGGGTCAGCAAATATCTCCATGAGGTGCCCTTATCTGCAGGAAGTTCTGAGCTTCTGCATGTTGACAGTCTTTCTTGCGTAAAGGAGGAGGAGTGCTCATATTGGCATAGAGAAGCATCATCAAAGGTGTCACCAGTGACGCCTTGTGTGAAATAGATGGAGTAGAAGTTAAATGCCTTGTGTGGCATTTCACAAGTCAGTGTGAAATGGATGGAGCAGAAGTTAATTCAGTCTTGCTGAAGGAAGCCCCATGAAGTGATAATGGAATCTTGTGCCCTGTGCATCTTGAGCATTGACATTTTCAGGATGGACATTTTATAGATCCGTGAAGACATTGATGGGCATTTCACGTCACTGCTGTGGAAATGGATGAGGACACCCCTTTGCTGTGTCAACTGGCTGCCACCTCAAAAGGACAGTCAGTGGTAGGGCTGCTACAGATACCACCTAAATGTGCTGGTTGTAGTTTGAGTGGTGCTCTGGCAACAGAACTGGACCAGAAGAGGTTGATTTGGTCCAAGTCATCATCTTACTGAAGAACTGGAAAGGTGAGAGGTAGTCGCTCAAGCCCATTCAGTCTTCAAAAGCCCCATTTGTCCAGTATGAAAACTGAGCGGGGTTTGGAGATTATTGATAGATGATTAAGGTTTCATCCTTGAATGAAGCAGTACCAGGTATACCAGAACTACAGTATGAATGCAGAGCTAAACATACTGCTTGGTATGTGACTGTCAACATAACTAAAGCATTTCCCTCCACTCCCCTGACCCCTAGGTGTAAAACCTGATATGCCTTTGCCTAGAGAGGAGAACAAACTATACTTAGAACCACCTGCCATAAGGCTGGAAGCATAACCCTAGCATCCAAGATTTGGGAAGAGAACAGTGCCCCAAAAGGCTTAATTGCATTAATTGTAATTGTAATTAATTGTAATATAGGGAAACACTGTCCGAGAGGTGTGTAATAAAAGCAAACAGACAATTGGAATTTTACTAAATGCCGGATTTGCGATCAAAAGGAATAAGGTGAAAGGACTCATGCAAAACTAGAGTGACTGCCATATAAAAGGTCACTGAGCAATAAAAAGGAAGTACAAGTGTGTCCTGGAATGGTGGGGTTTGAAAGAGTGCACATACCGCTAGTTGCTTGTGAATGTACTGTGCCAGGGAAAATAAGTTATCTGAACAGAGACCTGGGCAACACTTAGCCTTTGACCACATAAAGCAAGCAGCACGTGTGGTGAGCAGGAAGCATTCTGTAGGTTTGAGAGCTGAGGAGGTTTCTCAACCTGAGGAACTGCCGCTATAGGGGTCCTGCTGATTCCTTCGATTGTTCCCCCCTTGCAGTTTTGTAGGGTCTACTGGTCTGACAGTGATGGAAATACCGGCTTTAAGTTTCTTGCCCTGCCGTCTTGCAATGAAATCCCTGCTACATGTTTCACTTCCACCACTGAATCCAGCGCTGGGTACTGCTGTCGCCCTGTTACAGCTTTGTGATGCGGGTGGGGGCGTACGGGCCAGCTCTGCTTCCTGGCATGCAGAGGACACGCAACTGTGACAGTTGCACAAGTGCTGCAAATGACTTAGACCTCCTTGGGAAGAAGATGCCAATTTTCTGTTGCATCTGAGGGCAGCAGCATGAAAGGTGTTAGCGTTGTGAGTCCTGGTGAGGTCTGGCGAGATGTCCATAAACCTACCAAGGCCTGCATGACACTGGAGGGGAGGCCTGGCAGTTTATTTATTTGTGGTCATCTTGCCTCATAGTTCATGGTAATGTAATCAATATCATCCATGAAGAGTGTTCAGAAGAAGAGATTTTGGAACATGGTCTTAGAGACCATGATCCTAACTCTGTCTAGGGTGAGCTTGCTCCCCACTAACTGATGGCACACTGACCAGAAGAGCTGGGAGTTGTCAGGGTTTTCCAGATGATCACTCTGCTGAGAAGAAGTATAATCTCATGAAGCTTCGCTCAAGGATGGGAAAAGCTTGGAACCACAGGAGAAGACTTCAGTGATCCCTCCTTCATCTGACAGTTTTGAAATCATTCGGTTTGTGCCCAAAGGACTGCATGGTACGACTACTGTACTGGCAACTACACGGTTGTGTCACCTGGAGATTGCACAAAGCAAACAGTAATGAGGCTTTTGTATTTGTTACTTTAAACAGGTAATGAGATTGTACTGGTGATACGCTACTGTGATCAATGTGAGGTTGATGTCAGGACAATGCAGTGATTGCTAAGGGGGCCTTGTGATAAGAAAGCAAAAATCTTGTGGAAGAGGCCTTTCCTTCAGAAAATTTGTAGTCATGGGCAAAGTATGGATGTGTGGCTCCAGGGACTGTATGGAACTGTCAGAGCTGCATATAATGGAAATACAGAGGGGCTCAGTACCAGCTCTTTTGATGTCCTGCTCTGTTCCTGTTAACCTAATTATTGGTTAATATACATGGAGCTGTTGATTGCTTCTGACTGCTTTTATTGTGCTGTTCACAACAAATGGAGCCAGCTATGCTGAGCAACCCATGTAAAGGGAGCTGAAAGTGGAAGCAATTGTAAAAGTCAACCATATGGCCCCACACAATGACTGCAGTTCTCCTTGAAGGGCTTGTCTGCCCACATCTGTTTTCTTTTTCTTATGGTTAAGTTTTGTGAATAATTATATACAGCTGAACTGAGAATACTTTTTTTCTATATATTTAGTGTAATATTTTGCTTAAATACTTTCATGCCAACCTTTTAAATACATACTCTAGATATATTTATGCACATACGTAACACAAGTATATGCATTCTTTTTGTTATATTTGTAGAGCTGCTGATCCTGTATGGCCAGTCATACCTCCATCATTCCGGGAATATTAACCGAGTTTTGGCGGCTCGAATAATTCACACGCTTATGAGGGGATATTGCTTCCAAACGGATGGCTTGAATTCTGATGTGTTTGTCTTCTTTTCAAAAGCAATGCTGTGTGTGAGGTATGTTGCAAGTGCACATAGTTTCTAGCTTGATAACTTCTTTGAGAAGAAACTCATTTCAAGTATTGGCATTAGACTTGAATAATAACAGATATGTTACTAGAGACATATTTTATTGGTCTGTCTTTGAGCACTGATTTAATACATCTTTTAAATTATTTAACTATTTGTTAGGTAATAACACTCAGAGTACAATACTTGCTAGTACTTACATTTAAACAACTCCTGTGCTAAAAAGTATGGTTATTTCCTCTGGAAGTTTGAGTGTTTGGTTCACATTGCAGGCAGGAGGAGAACACGGCAGGCCTGGATCATATTCTTGCAGCAATTAATATTTTCTGCAGTACGTTTGCTGCCAACTGTCGCATGCGGATTTGTAAAATAGGAGAAGAAATTTTGCCAACAGTGCTTTATATTTGGAGTCAGTATAGACCAAAAGATTCCCTGAAAGAGTCAATAATTGAGTTATTTCGTCTCCAAGTTCGCATTCATCATCCAAAGGGTGCAAAATCTCAGGAGAAAGGTAAAATACAAAGCTCTTGTATTTTTTTTCTTCTTTTTTTTTTTCCTAGCACTGTATGATTGCCCAAATTTCTATGCTTAATTTCTGATTTTTGAAACTTTATTGAATGGGAATAACTATTGCTTGTTTCATACAATAGACTGATACTGACTAAAACTGAAAGTAAATTTTCAAAGCATATGCATTAGAAAAATAGTAACTTCATTAAGTCCTGCACAGGACTAAATTCTGTACAGGAGTTAATCTAAATCTTTTTAATCTAAAGACTAATTTTTAAAAAAGAAAAAGAGAAAAAAATCCTAATAAATAAAATGAAGTGCAGAGTCTTTGAGGAAGGGGAATGATAGTTAAAAATTGGTACACGTAATCATATATTACTAGGTTTATTTAAGCCCAAAAATGATTACTGTGATATGATTCTCTTACCTACTGTGTAATACAGCTCAAAGAATGTCAGTCTGTAATTTGTGTCTGTCTGTCATGGCCTCATTTAACTATACAGTCATTTCTTAAAAAGGTGTTTGTTCTTGACTTAGATTGAGTACAAAATGATAAAAGTTTATACTTCGTGTGTGAATTTATCAATTGCACTTCACTGTAGTCTTTCCAGTTAGGTGAAGAATTGTCTACTAGAAACTTACTTAGGGAATTACTTGTAAACTATGATTAAATTGACTCAGCTGTCTCACTTATCTTTTACTTGTTCCTCATTGTAAGTGATTGCTAAAGATCTGAGACAAGACGTCAGTGGGTGATAATGCTGTATTTCTAAAGATTTTTTATGATTTGCTAGTTAATAAGTTTTTGCTAGTTAGGAAGTTGGATATTTCATACATAGATTTGGATTGCCATTCTTTGGAGAGTGGTGATGTTATAATCAATGTCCTTTAACAACATAAATGTGGCAAGGTGTAGAGGGAGAATAACAACTTTTAGTAGATCACGTTAGTTTAGCTCACAAATGTGTTGAAGCACACATTTTATGTCCCGATTGACTGGTCAGTGTTAGTGAATACTAACTTCTTTCCCATTATTTGCATCATCCTATTTCTTTATTTTTTGCTACTTTATTCTTTTCTAGGTCTGTTTATAATACATCTCTCTTTTTAAAAACCCGCTTTTTTAAAACCATAGCAGCTTAAAGGAAGTCTACAATTCTTTGAGGAAGAAAAATGGATGGAAGTTATTCTTCATTTTTGTGTGAAAATATTTAACTTCAGTCATTGCTGTTTGGACAGTTTCCTGTTTACTCCAGTACTTGCTAGTTCATTAGCATATGCTCTCATTAGCAGAGAGATATGAATACATCAATCTTAAATAGAAAAGCATAGGAATTCATTTATTTCTTATTCCCAAGAGATGTAGGATGTTATTGGCTATGTTTTTATTTTACTTTCAATTAACATAAGTTGTTTTGTGTAGGGCTAGTTATTCTTGAGGATGTTTGTGTGTATGAGGATGTTTTATTATATGAGTATACAAATGGCCAGTACTATAAAACTGTCCTTTAGATGTAATTTGAAACTTCTGTCATTTCCTTGGGCTGAGAAGATGAGCTGATCCAACATTTCTGACAAGTGCTGGAAAACTAATTCTGTCATGAGCCATGCAACAGACTGGCTGTGGTAGAGATGGGCGTTTCAGCTCCCTGAAGTATTAGATAGTTATCTTCAACATTTTCCTCTATCGAAGGCAATAAATGATTCTGTGCCCCTTTTTATTGCAAATGATAGTTTGCAATAAAAGTTTTCATCATTCAGATAAAGTTTTCATCATTGTCACACTTTATATGTTTTACTCTGATTTTGGCAGTGTTGCATAGTCAAGGTAGTTTTGCATGCTTTATGAAGTGGGTGGGATATTCATTATCTCTATTTTTTCATTACAGGTGCATATGACTCAGCAAAATGGCAAAGTATCTTATATAATCTCTATGATCTGCTGGTGAATGAAATAAATCTTGTAGGTAGTAGAGGAAGATATTCTTCAGGCTCACGTAGCATTGCTGTAAAGGAAAATTTGGTTGAGTTAATGGCTGATGTTTGCCATCAGGTAACATATGTTCCTAGCTGAATATGAAGTTGGTGCACGTCTGTGATGTGTTTTATGTTTTGCTTTTTCAAGTAATACAGCTTAAACGTTTTCTTAGAATCACTTGCTGAAGTATTAGTACCTTTTATACCTTTTCTGTTGTTTTTTTTTTTCAGTTTAGAAAGTTTGAACTCCTAAATTATAGTAGATTTCATTACTGTTGCTTATACGAATGTAAACATAAGCTCCACGATAACAGATAACAATGAACAGTCTTTTTTATTGCCTCATAAGAGACTTTATGCATAGTAAAAATTGACTAGTTTGGCTTAAAATTTCAAATTTTCTGTAAATGTTTATTTTTCATTTGAGCATTTGTTCATATCTCTTCGTAAAGGTTTTTGTTCATGATCCTGGAGTTGAGGAAATTAGCCAGTCCGACACCATCTCGCCAAGAGAGGGCAGTGAGGGAGCAGTGCCGAGCAAACGCAGGAAGACTGAGCTAGGCTGGGATGTGATTCGAGACAACCTGCAAAGATCCCAGAAGGATTTTGATGTCATACCTTGGTAATAATGTCTTTACTTGAAACGAATCGCACTTCAAGCCCTCCGTCCTCACTCACACTGTTTCATATGAATTGCTTTGGTTTCTGTTTTCAAGGTTACAGATTGCAGCTCGGTTAATATCGAAGTATCCCATGAGCCTTCCCAATTGTGAAATACCTTTGTTACTCAGTGTACTTCACACGTTGCTGCCCCAGCAGCGACGAGGAGAAAGGACCCTGTATGTACTGAAGTGCCTTATAGAGGTGGCATTGTGTCAAAACCAGAAAAATGATTTGAAGAACACCCAGAAATTGGAGCTCCAGAGAACATGGGCAAAGATCTGGTCTCTTACCATCCGCAGCATAAGTTTTCAGCAAACTGAAATAGAGAGTTTTGGGCTGCTCGGAGCCATGATTCAAGGAAACCTTGTTGTAACAGATAAAGAACTCTGGAAGATATTTACAGGACCTGTATGCAAGCCTTCAAGGTAAGATGGGAAAAAAGGATAATAATTATGTCAGATTAACATAGCTTTTTAATTTCTGCAAATAGAAAAACTGTTTATTATTATAGCTATACTCCTATAGCCATATAGGCTGCATGGCTAGTTAAGAACTCACAAAAATGCTGTTGAAACATTTGAAACTGAGAGAACCATGCAGGCAAACGTAGGAGTGGAAAAGGACAGGCAAGCGTCTTCAAATGTAAAATCTGACTGCTAAATAATTGATTTTTAAGCTAAAAAGTATGTTTTCTCCTAAATATATCTTGGTTCTTAAACCAGTGTTTTGATATCAGTGTTCTGAAATAGACAGGGAGCATCTGTAATAGCCCAAACATGGCTTTTGAAAATGCAGATTCTTAGGAGTACTCAAGCTAATTGTTAGTGGTTTATCATGCTCCCACAGCTGTGCAGCAAGCACAAATACTGACTCTGCTTTAGAGTACTGTGCAACAAATCCCACACTGTTGTTTCTCACAGGTGCTCTGTGCTTCTTGTTTTATTACAGTTCTGCCGTGTGCTGTTTAGCATTAGTGATGTCTGCCTGTTCAGTGCCTGAAAATTTAGATCTAGGAATGGAACAGAATAATAGTGAAAGAAATCTGGGTTCCATGTTAAAGGAGGCGATAATGAAATGGGTGCTATCCTGCTATTTGGAGGAAGAAATGGAAGAATGTGTGGAGTTGCCTCCTGTGCTATGCAGGTAAAGTCTTTGGGCAGACTTTTATATATAACTGACCCTATAATGCGGAAGTTTGCCCAGGGAAAAGTGTAGTAGTAGAATTTTATATTGTTAATGTTTTGCTAGAATTTGTAGGGTTTTTTTGTTTTTTTGTTTTGTTTTGTTTTGTTTGCTTGGATGTCATTTTGGGAGTGTAATTTAGCTGCATGTCCTTAGCATAGCAGATAAGTAAAACATGTGTGTTAGAAATCTTCGCTAAAAACGTGAGTTTCTCTGAAGGTATGCAGTAAATCTGATAAATACTGGTGTACAATTTAGCAGTCTCAGTAGTTTGTCTGATTGAAAAAAAAAACACAAATCATTTTTCTTTTTTACAGTGATTTTCCTCATCTTTTGCTGCAAAAAATTCTCGTGAGCCTTACAATGAAGAACTGTAGAGCCGCGGTTAATTTTTTCCAGAGTGCTGCTGAATGGTATGTTTTTAAATCAATCCTTGCAGATACTTAGGCTTCTTAGATTTGCCATTGTAGCAAACAGTGACAATGAAATGCATAAGTTCCTAAAGCTCTTTTGCATCTTTCTGTAAAACAGCTTTCAGACTCCATCAAAAGAGTAGAGCTTCTGCAATATATTTAGGTGCCTTAAGCAGATCTTACGATAGTCTCTTGCTGACAGACAAAGCTCCAGGTGCTGAACAAACCACCTTACAGAGAGTGTATCTCTCTTGAGCAATGCAGCTAAGTAAAATAATTAAAATAAGGTTGGTTCTTTACACGTAAGCAATTATTAGCTATTTTAAACCCATTACAATTGTAAGTTTAAAATAATGTGCAAATTTGTGTAAACATGTATCCATGCTTTTCTAATATTATGCTCCATTCTAGAGGAAACACATATCTTAGGAGTTTTCTAGAAGGAAGTAGCTATAAACCCTAGATGGTTACATTCCACATGTCTTCGTGCCACTCTGACTGTGGTCCCAGCCACGTGTTCCTTACACCTGTCAAAATAATGTAAAATGCTGCTGCATTTTTCACTGATGCATTATGTTCAAGTGCTTGGACTATACCCAGCTTACTCTTAATGAAACTACAATGTTTATATAAGTTTTTCTGCTTTACTTTTATTTCTAGAAGATAGAATACTAGTTTCAGAGTTGCCATGAACTTCTCCAATTCTGTGAAAGTAGGTTGAGATTAGCAGTCTTTGTATAAAAGGGATGTTGCTGTCTAAACTACACTAGAACTTAGGATGTGTGTGTAGGCTCTGTTTTTCTTTGTCTCAGAGAAAGCTAAAATGGCAAGTATGCATTTCATAGAGAAATTCACCTCAGAAATGATAACGATGGGATTTGTAAACAGACAAGAGAGAAAATATTTTATTTGCTTTTATTTATTTCTTACATTTAAATAATAGCTTAAGAGACTTGTAGGTTATATATGGGCTATTAAAATAAGAATGATGTCTCTTCTTCAAGTGTGCAACACTTGCAAGTGAAAGAAGAAATCAGTTTTTCTGATGTCGAAGAGCTGTATCTCCAGACAACATTTGATGAAATGGATATTTTCAGTAACTTTGCAGTAAACAGTGGAGATAAAAATGTGACTGGTTCAAGACTTGCCATCAACCAAAATCTTAGGGAAACATTGGAGCACTGTCTTACAGTGATGGCAGAAAAGCTTTTAAGTAACTATGCTCCTAAGGTAAGTTTACTGTTGCTTTTTGTTGTTGTTGCACTGCCAAACAATATAGTTTCAAGCCACAAAGTGTATAGACTTTCATTCTTTTTGCTGCTAAAAATGGATTGCAAGCATTAAAAAAAATCCAATAATGTGAAAGACAGAAATCTATATTTCTTTCTATAATTGTCAAAATACCTATAGTTCCTTCAAGTAGATGGGAGTCTATGAGCTGTATAGGAATGGACGTGTGTGCAGAGCTGCTATCTAAACCATTATTGCCCTATTTTTTGTGATTTTTTTTCTTCCTCTCCTGTTCTCTTGTTGAAGAAAAGGGTGAGGGAGGATCTTGCTAATGTGTATAAGTATCTGAAGGGAAGGTGTCAAGGGGATGGGGCCAGGCTCTTCCCAGTGGTGCCCACCGACAGAACAAGAGGCAACCAGCTGAAACTCAGGAAGTTTCATGGCTTTCTTAGGGGACTTTAGGGAAATATCGTGGCTTACAGGAGAAGAACTATCCAGGATAAACTTTTAAACCTTATTTCCTTTGGCAGCCTTGCACTGGTTTTAATCTAGTGGTGTGACTTCCTTGCAAGTTTTTGTTAACATTCCATAAGATTTTTCCAGCTGAGAGTCAGTACTGGAGTTCAGAACAAAATATAGACAGTTAGGAATTGTGAAATTTATTCTGGGTTTGCAAGTGTAATAATGGTGTTATGCATAAATTCTCCTGTCTTTTACAATCAGTACCTTTCAGGAATGTGATAGCAATGCCTTTTTAGTCTCCTTTCCTGAGAAAATAAGTCAAAAAATTATTTGTCTGTTCTTTGTCCTCCAAGCAATAAGGGTGAAAAGTGGTCTCTTAAGATACTCCTGCAGCAGACCTGCATGCACTCACATTTCTCTAGGTATTTGACATGGAAGCTGCTAAGAAGCAAGTTATTAATGTACTAAGATGGCAAGGGGCAGCAGTGGAAATGTGTTCCTGACTAGGCTCATAGCGTCTCATTTTCTGGCAGGAGTTAAAAGAGGTAATCAGAGTGCGTAGGAAGAGCTGATGGACGCTAAGATGGAATCCCAGGGAGAGGGAGAATTTATATTGTGGATATGTATCATGAAGAAAAGCGTAAGGGCCATGGGACATGCAGAGGGTGTTAAAACATTAAAACATAAAAAGCCAGGAAAACGTATTAGGGACCTGGGGCTCCTGCAAAACGCAAAACCCGCAAAGCTTCATTGATTCTGATGAAATATGTTTGTAAGATACTGAGAGTTAGAGAGAGACACTAGAGAATTCTGTCCTTTAGTGGAAGTTTAATGTTAAACCATTGCATTTATGCTTTTTATTTGATTTAGTCCAAGGTGATTGCTGCAGAACACCTCATCCGATGTGTTGGCATTTTGGTGGGTGTTCTTGGTTGCTATTGCTACACTGGCATGCTTACTGAGGAGGAGGCCTGTAAATCAGAGCTGTTCCAGAAAGCTAAGGTAAGAAACAGTCTCTTTTGGGACTACTAAAAATAAAATAGAACTTTAAATATGAAATCATTAAAAATATATATTCATATTAACACATTTTCAGAGCATGAATGTTTCTGCTGATTCTATGCCTTAAAGAAGTGCAGCGGTGATAGATACCTGCTGTTGAATGTAACTGTTCCTGAAATAGAGGCAACCTTGAAATTCTATCAAAACAGTAATAAGTGTCAGCAGAACATATTCTAAATATTAATAAATTTCTCTATTGCCTCTTCAGAAAAATAGGACTTAGAAAAATAGGACTAATAGGACTTAGGTCTTTTAATTTAGTGGTGCTTGTGCAGGGATTTGCAAGAGCTTTGATGGTTTAAGCCATTATGAAGACAGCTCCGTTTTATTATTATGTGGGGAGGTCTTTTTCTGAAATACAGAAACATATGCATTACACTTTATGGAGAGATGCCGTATTTTTCTTCTCTGATTAAAATGATTTCAGGCAATCCCCGTGATCTTTTTTTTTTTGCTTTTAGAGGGGAATGACTGAAACAAAAGAAAAAGACATAAATGTGCCTAAATCCACTGGTTCACACACTATATGTACATATGTCTATGAAAGCTTGAGTATGGATGAGAATCATGTTTTTTTATCTCTGTGTATATGCCAACATATGAAGGAATTTAACTGAGATATTTTAACTGTGTTGTGTTTTTACTAGTCTCTCATTCATTACGCTGGAGAAAGCATTGGTTGCTCTAAAAACAAACTAAATGAGGATGCCCAAATCAACTCGCTGAGAATTTTGATATCGCAGTATACAAAATGTTTATGCAACTGTACCAAGGTAGAGTGTATAAATAATTTCTGTTTCTCTCTTAATGAATTCACAAACTAGGATATGGTATCTGGAAAAAAAAATTATTTATTTGTTAATGCTTGCTTTCTTACAGAACACTGCTAGTAGGATGTTCTCTGACTTATTTCTGCGCTTGCTAACTTCCAAACTTATGAATGATCTTGTAGATATTTGCAAACATCTGGTAAGTTTGTTCTCCGTATTTCTAAATGCTGTGCTCCTCTGTGGGAGGGGTGTTTATACATTACAACAATTTGGAGGCAAACCAAATGAGGTACCTATAGGTGTACAGTTAGTTCTATTGAGATTTCTAATTAGAAACATTTCTGTGTAGCAATCTTACATTGTGAACACAGCTGTAGGAGGAAAAAAGATTTAATGAAGGTTGGCATGCCAGCTTACATTAAACAACAGTTTATATCATGTTAATCATGTTAATCTTTGGTCGCCTAGTAGAGAAAGCAGTAGTTACTGTGCCTTTCAGAAAGGTCATATGCCTTCCTTTTGTTTCTGTATAGTTATGACAGAAATGCTACCCTTTTAAAGAGAGTTGCTTTTCAAATGCTAACTATGTCCTTGGCGTTATTTGAACCCAGCGACTAGTCCCTGTCTTAGGAACCCTGTGTCATAAGGAGTAGTTCAAATCAAGCAATTTATGTGCCTAAAAGATGGGTTTATCACAGAAAGTAAAATTCTTAAGTTCAGGGTGGCACTTTTTTTTCTTCACCTAAAAAAAGTTCACTGGAAAACTAGTGTCTTTCCTTGTGTTGTGTCTCCTGTCATTAAAAGACAACTTTAAAAAATGTAATGCTTTTGTCAGATGACAATTACTGGGAAGCCAAATGAAGTGAGAGAAGTGGACCGAGTGAAGAATGATCCTGAGGAGAGTATAATGGAAGTAGATAATCAGACACCTGATAATCTATTTGATGGTCCTTCTGTGCCTGATACCAGTGATACAAATGAATCTGGTGAGATGCAAAACACAACTGGTAAGTCTTCCCTGTGTACAAAACTATTTGCAAAAGCTTAAGACTTTTTTTTGCTTTGATTTTAAAACTTGCTCTTTCCTTGAGCAACAATGAGATGCTGAACTGTGCTACTTTGAGTGGGCTAATTAGTTAGTAGCCAATGGGTAATTTCTAAATAATAATAAGTCTTTTGAACTTTGTTAGTTTTTTGAAGACATTAATGAAGGGTTCCAGCTCATTTGGAAAGGAGAAGCTTTTTATTTTGTAAATAGTAAATGCAAGCAGAGAAACTAGCTAGCTTGCTCAAGGTCAGACAGAGGCTTTGGTTAATCTGAGAATGCAAAGTACATGTCTAGGCGACCTGTGGGTGATTTGTGTCCTGGTTAAAGGTGTTTATTCCTGTTAGGAGCTAAAATCTCTGATATTTTCTCAGTTTAAATGTCTTTCTTAAAACGATATGCATCTTAGATTTTAACCAGGACTATGATTTCTGAAATATTGTTGAGGGGAAAGGAAATCACAATGTTACATTATACTACAGATGGTAGGTGGTCTTTTATTCCCAGCAAGCTGGCTGAGCATCTTCAGAAGTATCTCCTCCAACTGCTTGATAAATAATCGTAAAGTTTGGCATGATAGGAAGTGACAAGAGTTCTAAATGTGACAGGAAAATGATATTTCTGTCTATTTCTTTTAAGTCATGATTGAAATCAGGGTCAAAATGTTAGTATAGTGCTAATGGTCATAATTTCAATTTTGGGGAAACTTTTAATCTGTAGTCTAAAATATATCCTGAGTAAGAATTAACAGCATGATACAACAGAGGTGCAGATGTTTCTGCTGAGTTTGTTGTCTGTATCCTTGATGGAGAGGCCAGCCATACATGTGAGTACGTACAGTGAAAAGCCTCTGTTTTAGAGAGTGTCTTTTCAGATGTGAGAACAGACTCAAGAAGCCAGATACTGGTGCAGTCCTTGTGCCTGCCCAGTAGCAAATAAGCTTCAGGGTTGTGATTATTATATCCGTTCTGAGACCTTAATTTCGTAAAGACATAAAATATTACCAAGCTTTTTAGTGTCCCAGGGGAAGCATTTCTAACATGCAAATCCTATTTTCAGGTGCAGTGAGCCCATTAGCTGAGGAACAGTTGACAAAGCAGGATTTACTTCTCCTTGAAATTCTGAGATTCTTATGCATTTGTGCAACTACAGTCCAGGTTCAGAAAGTAAGCTTCCGAGCCTCCGACGTGAGGAGGAAGCTTTTAATGCTAACTGATAGAAGCACCTTCAATAGTGCTAAACCGTTGCATCTGCATATGGTGAGTGTGAGAGCTTTTTTTTTTACAATCTTGATTCTGTAGGTGCAGTGTTTTTTTAAAAATAAAACTGTATATTTGTGGCCTTTCTGTGGCAACACTCCCTTGAGAAGACATTAAAATCACTTCTGGTGATTAAAAGTGTGCTAGGATGGAAGAAGGAGGGGTTAAAAATTGTTGAAAGGCAGAAATTAGACAGATGAGCTATATAAACAACTTGCTTTTATTATTAATTATGCGTTGAAGGGCTAGAAGTGATCTCTGTAGTAGAATCGGATTCGTGCTTCAGTTTATGAAGGTAATAGTTTTGACTGCCGAAAAGTAAATTTTCATCAGTCATACTTCTGCATGGCAGTCTTTGCATGAAAAAATTGTTGGTTCCTAACATGTAAGAACTTACAATAGATATCCTTGATGCATGATTTCATGTAACAGTTATTTAAAATGTTTTATATTTTTTTCTTTTGGTCTACTTATTTTCTTAAGTATTATTTTTCCCTTTTTTTTTTCTTATATCTCAGTACTTGGTCCTTTTGAAGGAGCTCCCCATTGAAGAAAACCTCTTGCCTGAAGATGATGTTCTTATGCTTCTTAGGCCTCTTTCGTAAGAGAGAAACTGCTCAGCATGTATTAAAGCTATTTCCTTTCAACAGCTGGAGGATTTTTAGACTGTTTAGTGTTTCAAACCATTTTTTCTTTCTTTCTCTTGTAGTGATGTGTGTTCCATGTACCGTCAAGATCAAGAAGTTTGTAAAGTAATTCTAAATAACTTGCTTCCTGTAGCAGTAGGATTGGCCCAATCCAACACTGATGCTGAAGAGATAGGACATGCTCAAGGACAATTTTTGACAGTTGTTGGAGCCTTTTGGTATGTTTTATCTATCTAACGCAGAAGTTTGTTCATTGGCATAAAATGTTCAACTTCGTTTTCTACATGAAGACCACAGTGATGTTTTGTGTCCTGCTGTGTGGTATCCCATGAATCCATATGCTCTTCTCTCTCCAGGGTTAAACTTTCCAGATTTTCTGCCTCATGTTGTATTTGTATCAAAGAATTTGTATCAAAAAAGTCCTTCAAAAAGCTTTATGGAAATGAACAGCATACTATGTTTATTTTCTAAGACTAGTGATAGTCTGAAACAGATCAGTGATTAAAACAAGTGGTAACTTTAGCAAATAGAAATGAATATTGCTCAAAACTGTAGATTGCCAATAAAAACATAAAACGTAAACTAAAAATATGCACAAAATTTAATACAAAGGAATGAATTGCAAACAGCTAAAACTATTTTGTTAGACTTTTTCTCTAAGTGGAAGGCAACTTTTTAATTCAAATGTTTCTTATTGTAGGTATTTAGCTCAAGAAGGGAAATGCACAGCACCAGTAAGATTGGCTCTTTTAAACTGCATGAAAGCCTTGCTTGAAGTAAGTCCTGCTTTTCTGACATTTTTAGCATGTTAAGTATATACTTAAAGTGTGCTTGAAAAGAGTGTCTAAAGAGCCTTTGCATATATCAATGTGTATTTCATTGTAAGTCTTGTGTATATTTCAAGCCACAATATCTGTTTTTTTTCAGGCTGATCCTCATTCAAATTGGGCTATTCTTAATGTAATAAATAAAGACATTCCTGTCAGTGGAGCTTTTCCACATTTTCTCGCAGATTGTAACCATCAAGTTCGCATTCTTGCTGCAAAGTCAATTACCAGGTAATAGGGTAGATTTTTTTGTTGTTTGTTTGCTTAGGAAATGAAATAATTGTATTTAAGAATAGCAGTTTTTACATGACTGGGGTGTACTTTTCTTGCTGTATAGCTGCTCTTTTCAGTAATTTTGTAGCTTTAATCTTGAGGGAATATAGACTTTAGCAAATTAATTTGGTTGAAATGTTCAAATTTTGACTATGTTTGCAGTATTCTGTGCAATATATATTCTGTATGTAATAGTATGTGTTGACTATATGACAATAAATTTCACACTAAGTTTGTTATGCAAAATTTGACTATAAATTAGTTATCATATAGAAATAGATGAGATACTTTGTATGATGTAAAAGCAATTTCATCTCAAAAAGGAAATACAGGAGTAGAGAAAGGATGTTCAGAAGTCTGGAACACTTTGCACACAGCTTTTGGCTCTATAAAATGAAATCCTTTAGGACAAAGTAGCATTGAACTAGTATAGGAGGTCTAACATAAGCCTACAAAATCTTGAGTAGAACCAAATGAAGATAGGCTACCTTTTCAAGTATAAAGATTAGGGGACATCAAATGAAACAAGCAGGTTCAAGATTCAAAGAAAATGTGGTTTACTTTCTTCATACAATGCTGTTACCTTGTGGCAAGGAATTTCACAAATTATCTGGAGGTTTGAAGTTTACATAGATTCAAAAAGTAATTGGACAAATTCGTGAAAGAAGAAGTCATTAAGGAATATTTAGTACTGTCACCGCTTCTAACTTGTGATGTGTTTAGAATACGTTCGTGGGAATTACACATACAAAGCCAGAGTACAGTGATCTTTCTTAGTTATCTGCTTCCAGTCACTTAGAAATGGCTAGGGTCATCGATGGTGTTGACCCTTCGTCGTGTTCCTATTTCTGTTATAAAAAGCAAAGTGGGTTGAATTACTTGAGAAACCATATATATATATAATAAATATACAATGCGACAATGACATGGGAGATTACATTGTGATGGTTGTTGAAGTTTGACTCTTGTACTGGCAGAGATTACAAAAGATTTCTCTTGTCAGGCCGCTCTCTGCCATTTTGCCCAGCAGGTTTTTTTGCTGTTATTGCCACTATCTGCAGGAGAGAAAGGAAGGATTGTTGTGCAGGAAAGTTAAGAAGAAAATCTTTTCAGAAAAGAAGAATCATATTATTTGCTACGTACAGTACGCGTTGCAGATGAAATTTTATGGTAATAATTATTGTTCTTGTCTTAAGTTTGTTTCAAGATGTAAAACAGAGAGATTCTTCTGGATTGTTGATACCTCTTCCTTTGAAGATCCAGCAAAAGGCTTTTGAGAATGCCTATCTCCAAGTTCAGGAAGGAATGAGAAATCGGGTACCGAAATCTAGTCACTGGTTATGCCTAACTTTTGGGTTCTGCTTAAGATGACTTTTAAAATGAATGTGTTTATTTTTCTCAGAACATTAATTCTTCTGAATATTTGATAACATATGAATGTGGTGAAAAAAGGGGATAAGCAGAAGTTCCTTTACTTCTTGAATCCATCACTTTTTTCCCACATTACAAATTTGTAAACATTTTTAGTGATTTTTAGAATGCTCTTCTGCTTAACACACTGATTGTTGTTGTTTGTTTTATTACAGTAACACTTAGGAAGCAAAGTGTAGCTTCAGAATTCAAGGAAATTAGACAAGTAGAGAGAAGGAGGCAATATGACCTTCCATTTTATATAGTATAAAAACGGATGTTGAAGTGTTAGAGAGATGATGTTTCCAGGGGTATTACAGCAGTGATTTTCACAAACTCCGGGTTTGGTTTATGTTAATTCTAGTATGCTGATATAAATGTTATTCTGGCGACGTTGTTGAAAAGCTCAGGCAAAATCTTGCCGTAGTGCCTGTTTTGGAGGCAGTGAATTTTGCAGAAGAGCAGAAGACCTACCAGTGCTTCAGTCATTTAAGGGTATTGCCTTTGTTTAAACTGCCAGTAAATGAAGAAGGCAAAGATGCTGCTATATGAATTGGAGTGTATGAAATGCAAGCAAGTAGTTTTTAAACTATCAAAGCAAAATTTTCATCACTGTTAGTCCTTCATAAATTGAGAGATTTGTCTTGACATAACTTTTATACAAATTTTTCATTATTTCTTACTGAAGGTCAGTGGTGCAAGTCCTGAAGTTCTTTTGGATGAGCAGAGTAACAGGAAAGCAGTTTTGTTGATGCTTATTACTATGGTTCTGTGCTGCAGTCCAGTATGTGAAAAGCAAGCTTTGTTTGCTATCTGCCAGTCTATGAAAGAGAATGGATTAGAACCTCACCTTGTGAAAAAGGCAAGTATAAAATTCCCTTTCATATTTAGGCTAGAAAATAAATTAAATGTCACTTCTTTTAATCTCTTCTTATTGCTGCTTGTCTCTACCCTGCAAAAACTGTATTCTTCGTCCTTTGTCCTTCTCACAGGTTTAGTTCCCAATTACACTCTTAGAAGATATGACAATGTAAACAGTAAAAAAAAATTATAAGTTGGATAGAAGCTGATAGAGGTTTGGGGGAGCATATAGAGATAAAATATTTTTACTATACCATTGTATCGTGTATGCTGGATGCTACTTTGTAATCTTATTTATGGCATAGGTTTTGAAGAAAGTATCTGACATTTTTGGCTATAAAAATGTAGAGGACTTCATGACATCACATTTAGACTATTTGATAATGGAATGGCTGAAAATAAATGACAGTGGATACAGCCTGTCTACTTTTCCATATGTTCTTCTGAACTGTACAAGTCTTGAGGAATTCTACAGGTAAGTATGACTTATGGAAGCAGTTTATCTACATTTATTTACAAATGTGGCACAGCATTTCAAATGTATAAAGTAGTAACGAAACATGATTTTGTTGTAGAAAGTAAATGTTGAGAGCTATTAAAATGTATGGCAAGTATCTTGGATACTGTATTTATGGTGGTAAGATTTGTTGTATAGCAGCAGCTAAACAGGCATTACTAGTTTAATTATGCAATAGAGGAATATTGTCTGCTATACTATACTTGAAAAATACGATTTGTTTTCAAAAATAAATAATTAAAGCATATTCTGAAAATGCTTTTATTACATATAGGTCTTGTTATAAAGTTTTGGTTCCACATCTGGTGATTAGAAGTGAATTTGAAGATGTGAAATCACTTGCCAACATGATTGAAAAAGACTGGAAGCAGGTTCTTGCAGACTGTTTTCCAAAGATACTTGTGAATATCCTGCCGTATTTTGCCTATGAAAGCAATGAGAAAGAGTGAAGTAGCAGAGCAAAGAGACACAGCTTCTAAAGTCTACGACATGCTTAAGGATGAAAATTGCTTAGGAAAACAGGTATCTGTTTTAAAAGTATAAATTGAAATCTATGGCATTTAACAGAAACTCCTTTATATTCTGTAAAAATATAAATATTTTGAGTTCATGGGTCTAGGACTATTACCATAATAAAGCCAAACTAAGATAATCTTTATCCAAAGTTTTTAGGTAATCACTAGTATCTTACAGGCAGGCAGTTGATCTGAAGTTTAATGTTTTTCAAAATATAATAAAAAACCCCCCACTGTCAAATGTCTGTTTATGTAAGTTGTACTTTCCTTACAAAATATTTCATTAATAGCTCATGAAGATTCTCGTTCTTCTCCAGAGGCGTGCTTAGAACTAGTAGTAAAACTAGTAGTAAAATTTACCATAAAAAGTTTTCAGATCAGAAAGTAAGCAAATGCTGTGTTCTATCTCTGATTGTTATAGATGACATCTAACCAGGCATAATTTCTAGAAAAAATGTATGTCATGGATAATTCAACAAAGAGACAAGAGAAAATATTTTTACTTGAAAAGAAGTGTGAAATTATTTTAGTTAATTCTGTTTTTATTAAAACATTATTTTTTCCCTTTAGCAAATTGACAGTTTATCTCATAGTAACTTACCAGAGATTGTGGTTGAGCTGTTGATGACCTTACATGAACCACCTGGCACCAACACAGCAGAAGGAGCTCATCTAAGTAAATACATAAGGTAAGTACTTGTACGTTTTTAAAACACTGATCATTTTGGTATAGCATCGTGGATTAAAACGTGCCCTTCAGGGCACATCAGAAAGGAGAATCCTTCTGTAATACTTCAGTTAATGGAAAGAGTAAGTAGGTAAGACCAAGAGAATCCTATTATATGTTGCTGAGTCAGTCTATGACTATGCCAGTTTAGATCATTCAAATCAGTATGAAAATACCCTCTTTGTAAAATTGGTCATATTCTGATGCCTGTAAGTTCAAAGTTCTTTCTTTTAAAGGTCATTGAGAAGTCATTAGCTTTCACAACAGTTCTTGTAGTGGCAGCCCTGGCCTTTGCTAAGGAGCAGCGCCAAATAAACTACTGGATTGCTAATTAATATGAATATTTTAATGTCTCAAATATTTTAAATTTTAATTTTGAATTTTAAGAGTCATGAAACATGTGTTTTCTCTTAATGATCTCAGAAAAGTTGCCTTTTCCTTAAGATGGGGATGAAGTGTCTTATCAGACATTTCCGTTTACTTCCTTAGCCACATTGTCCTGAGAACTGTGAAATGCAGAAGCTTTGTCATGACTTGTGATTAGATTTTCCTGTGAAATACTTTAGATGAAGTTTTGGGGTTTTTAAAATCATATTATGTTTCAAAAAAAAATGAGGAATATCGAATGACATGCATGTGACTTTCCTGATACTTTTTGTAGTTCTCACTCACTGACAGTAGAAGACGTTTCCCAGGAATTAACTTTTTGTTTAGTGAGACTATTTTGTTCAACACACAAGCTTTGATTCTTGAAAAAAATAAGACACTTTTTCATTCATTCAGGGAACTGGATCCTGCTCCTAATCCTCCTCATTTTCCATCCTGCATAATTAAGACAACCTTGGACTATATCAGCAGTTGTCATAAAGGCAAATCACAAAGTCTCATAGCAGTTCTTTCTAGAAACCCTGTAAGTATATCATGATGCTTTTTAAAAAATTTTTTAGAGTACAACATTCCTTTTATAGATACATTCAGGGTTTTCATCATATATAAGTGAAGATCAGTACAACCTCAGAAATCTTTATCTCTTGTTTGCATTCTGAAAAGGAAGAAGTCTTATGTTTGGGGGCAAAGTAACCTTACAAAAATTACATCCTTAAAATATAATTGTGTTATAAATATTAATAACACATATAGAATTTTTCTCACACTAGAAAAAGTTACAGGGCTTATACTCCTTGGAGAACTGGTTTCTGCATAGCTTTTTTGCTTGTTCAGAAAGGAAAAATGAGTAAACCCCTTTGTCCATGTTCTTTAAAAAGCACATAATCTCTATTGCTTAGGATTTTTTCTTGAGGTTATTCGTGTTGGCATTATGAATTATCTCTTAATTAGTAGTTCTGTTCATTTTTAGGATTCATTCCAGAAAATTCTTCTGGCCCTTTGTAAGCAAGCATCAGATACAAACAACGTGTACAAGAAACACAGAGTTCTTACAATTTATCACCTGTTCGTTAGTCTGTTACTTAAGGAGATAAAGGATGGTTTAGGAGGAGCATGGGCTTTTGTCCTCCGAGATGTAATTTATACCCTGATACACCATATCAACAGCAGGTGAATATACTGATCAGTTCTCGTTCTTTTTGTCTCTAGACTTTGCTACTGTCCTAACCTTACATTTCGTTTTTGCTAGTAGATGCCAATTCATGTATAGAAGGTATTCAAAGAATGCGTGTGACTGATTATGGATCAGACAATTATTTATATTGCCTTATATCCCATTGTATAATAGGCTGGAAAATGACAATTTATAATTCCTTACATTCACTGTTGGCAGACCCAGTGTTATCAGAGACGTATCCATGCGCAGCTTTTCACTCTGCTGTGACCTTCTTCATCACGTTTGCCACACAGCGGTCACTTGTTGCAATGATGCCCTGGAGAGCCACCTTCCTGTTATTGTAGGGACTCTCATACCTCTTGCCGTGGACCAGCCTGAGATTCAGGAACAGGTAGTTTTGACTTGCGTTTTCATGTCATACTTCTGCTGGGAAGGCCTTTCTCTAGCATGTGGTCACTTTTCAGATTTCTCTACTTATTTTTCTTCTAGCATTGTATAGAAGTAAGTTGATCATTTTCCAGATAAATGCAGGTCCCCAGATAAAAACCTCATCATTTAATCTGGTGGGTGGCTACTCAAAGCTGCCTGTATTGAATATCCAGTTACACTGAGTAAAGCACAAAGGCAGCATTTTGCAGGGAAAGTATTTTACTCCTTTAGCAACCGTTTATTTAAATCATAGATCTGACCCAGAACAAATGCTCACAATTTGGTGGTTTGGGGAGTAAATCCTGTTATTGAGGCAGTTGCAAGGATTCAAAGTTACTGACACTATAGTTTTTCAAAATAATGAAACCCTAGTAAAGTTCTTAGGTGCAAGATTTCAGTATTTACAATACGTGAAATCAACTAAATTAAAAAATCAAAGAGAATGAAGCCGCAATTCATAATATATAGAAACTTTGATGTCCGTTTGGGAAAGGGTATGGCAAAAACTCATCCTTTTGGCATATATCTGCAATTTCTCTCTGCCTTTACACATTCTGTGATCTTTAATAATATAAATAATATATCTTACTAATTTTTTAATAGCGTTGTCAGCTTAATGGAAATTAGGGCTATATAAACTTCCTGATCTAAGAAAGGAATATGCCTCAAGGATACTCTTTATTCTTTCTATTAACTTTTTATTTTCAGGTCCATGGCTTGCTGAAGTACCTGGTGATAGATAATAAGGATAATGAAAGTCTGTACCAAGCAATCAAATGTTTAGATCCTTTTCCTGAATATTCTGCTTTTAAAGATTTGCGAGCAACTCAGCAGAAGATAAAATACAGCAAAGGAGCATATTCTCTTTTGGAGGTGATTGCATTTTAAACTATATATCATAGACTAGTGACAGTAATGCAGTTTTTTTAAATGAAAAACAGTTTTCTAGGTATATGATGTCATAAAGAAAAATGTAAGCTAGATGTGGTCTGTTTTACTCCTGTTTCAGAAACTGAAACGTTGGCAGATCTCTGTTCTTACTTAAATCTGTTGACGTTTGTGGAGTCTCCTTCTCTGGAGATCTTCCAAACCCGCTTGGACGCAGTCCTGTGCCATGTGCTCTAGGTGACCCTGCGTGTGCAGGGGGTTGGACCTCTCTAGAGGTCCCTTCCAAGCTTAAGCATTCTATGATCCTATGATCCTATGAATGTCCACACTGGCCTGCTGAAAAGCATATCTTTTCTTGGAGCCTTTATTTGCATGCTTTATATGCTTAATAAAAGATGTTGTTTTGCAGGAAATTAATCACTTTCTCTCAGTTAGTGTCTGTGATTCACTCCCCTTAACGCGGCTTGAAGGACTCTATGATTTACGCAAACAATTGGAAAAATATAAGGATCAGATGAAGGATCTCCTGAAATACTGCCAGGGTACAGACGTCTCATTGTTTTATTCTTTTCTGTATCTTCTTTTTGATGTGTAGCAATATAATCAAATTCTGATTGGACATTGAATGTATTACTGTCTTCTTTTTTGTGTTTAGCAATGTAATTGTATTGTAACGTCTAACACATGACAGAATGGCATGTATTATTGATGCAATATCTGAAATATCTCTTGCAGAGCATATTATAATTGTTATAAAACATGTTTTCTGACAGAGATGATTAAGTATCCTTACAGTTTTTGTAGTGGGAGATGTACAATAGTGAATGACCAGAATAGGTATAATATCTTTTATAAAGCGTAATGCTTAACAATTACTTAGTAAGTTTCCTTGTACATGACTCCTTCTTAAATATTATGAAGCTAGAATCTATTGAATGCACAGTATGTTTGGAAGCAAACCTCACAGAAGTTTGAAAATGGTAGAATTTAGTTTATTTGCACCTCACCACATCCCAGTATTCTTTTCCTGCTGTTGGCACCCCTTAGTCCAGAACCCGTCCCTTTCTATTTTGGTTTTCAGATGCTTCTACCAGGCCATTTCACTTTGCTCCTCTACATCTGGCTCTTGTCTTACTAAGTGACTGGAAGATAAAAGAGCGGATGGAATTTTGGGTTTCAGTTTCAAACATTAGGGCAACAGGGCTTTCAGAGAACATATTGCTACATTTTTCTTTTATCTTTTTAGATAGGCAAATGACCATAATTTTCTTAGGCCCCATTCCTGCAAAGAACAAAACTATTTCATTTGAAATATTTACTTCAGAAAAAAAGACCTCAGGCAGCAAATATACATGAAAATGTTTGTAATGTGGCAAAGATTTTATGATTTTGCAAGGGTAATTAGGTAAATATTCTATGTGTGTTTGATGCCACTTGCACTAGTGTTCTAGTGTACTAGTTACAGAGATTCTTTGATATAGCCAGTTAGGTGCAGAAATTTTTTCAAGATGTGGTAAACAGGAAAATGACTGTATGGAATGCTTAATACCAACTTGCTTCAACAATAAAAATGCATGTTAACATTTGTAGGTGTAAGTTATCAAGGCAGCATTTCACATGTTCACATTACAAATAAAACAATGATACTTTGTGGATTTACTTTTCTCTCTGAATGACAGAAAACCCAGAAGACTCTGCAATAGTGAAGTTGGTGGTGAGTTTACTGCAGCTCTCCAAGATGGCAATTAACCATACAGGGCAAAGAGCTGTGCTAGGTAAGTTGTTCAGTGCCACAGGTGTCCTAAGGTTGTCACTGCAAACCCAGGTTTGTAACTGTGCTTAGTGGTATTTCAACAGCTGTTTCATGTCCAAATTTGAAAATTTGGAAAGCATATTTTAGTGGAATTTGATATGGTTCGCCATCATTTCCTCTACTACTATAATTCTTCTCACCATTTACACTGAGTACCTAACACTTAGTTCAAAGGACTGAAAGAAAAATCCAAATGACTTGTTTCCAAATGTCAGATGTATAAAATAGGCAGGTACAGGAGTGTCAAGTACATTTGTCTTAGTGTATTTTTCACCTGAAAAAATCAGTAACAGCATACAGGTGCTGAGCATCTGCAATGCACACTGACTTTCATTAACTTCTTGCTCATCACTTCTGCAAGCTGTGTTTCAGTCTCTCTTCTGCAACATCTTTGCTTAGATGATTTATTAAATTTAGTTCATAATGCAACCTGTATTTCTTCAGTTTGTTCTTGATTTGCTGTGGCAGTCAAAGAAATGTTGTATAAGATAAGATTGAAGTTTCAAGCCACAGTAAAGCGCAGACCAGCAAGTATAGCTAAAGCTCCAAAACAAGGCAAATATGAAGGCAAGAGAGAAAAATAGATATGTCTAATTTATTTTCCTTTATAATGAAACTTTTTTTTGTAACTATTTTCAAAGTCAGTCTTTGTTTGTTTGTGTATTTTTCTTGTATGTGTTCTTCTGTTTTTATGAAGTGCTTTCTTTGCCTGGAAAGCAAATGAGGAACATACTGGCACATCACTTACTATAAAATGTAAAATGCAGGTAGCAATTACTGGCTTACAGGCTACTCTGTTCCTGTTTGTCATTTGTTTAGGAGATGAAAGATGAGGGTCTTTTGTTGCTGTTATTCTGATCTTTTGCATTTATCTGTTTTTTACACATATTTTATTTAAGCAAAAATAGAATCTATGTCTGTTTAAACTACAAAATCAAGAGCCTTAGGCACTTGTAGAAAATTGAGATAGATGGCAAAAATTGTATTATTCCTGAGTCTGCAAAATCTGTATACATGCAAGTTTGCATTAATTGATTAGTCACAGGAACTTCTTAGGGTGAGACCAGTGTGCATAAGCCTATAACACTGCCTGCATTTGCAGAGGCTGTTGGAAGTTGTTTGGGAGAAATAGGTCCCATGGATTTCTCCACCATAGCTCTTCAGCATGCCGAAAATGGCCTGGATTCCAAGGCAGTGGACCTCCTTGAAGACAGAAAACATCAGTGGGTCTTCGTAATGTTAACTCAAATAAATACTGCTTTGACAGATAATTGGTGAGTATGCTTATTTATTTCATTTTTTAGCTCAAGGTTTAAGATGAGCTATTAAGCTGTACTAATATCTTTGAAAGGGCATTTAGGTCATACCTATTAATGCCCAATTACATGCTTCTTACATGCTTCACATTACTTACCCAGGCAAGCTTAGATGCTTCATAGAAATTCTCTAGTTAGGCTCAAGATGGATAAACTCTTCTATTCTGTACCAATTTGTGCCTTACTTCCTTACTATACAGAGGATAGTCATGCTGTAAATCCTGAAGCTTTGCTTTATAACAAAATAGGGGATTGCATGTCCTAGTCATTGTGGCTCCCTGATTTGGGGCACACTTTCGTGTTAGATTGTGAAATTATTTTGTCTTGTACTGTTATGAAAGTGCTAATGATAATAAAGCGTGTTAATAAAATAAAATGACACTGCGTATGTTATTCTTTCAGTATTGATGTTAGAGCTGCTGCTGTTTCCTGTTTGAAAAACATTTTAGCCACCAAGTCTGGCAGTGAATTTTGGGAGATATATAAAAACAAAGCGGATCCCATGTTAATCTATCTGCAGCCTTTCAGGATGTCTAGGAAAAAGGTACTTCTGATCTGCCTGATTTATATGAAATAAGACTTTGGAAAAATGAATGGAAATATATATATTTTTAAAAAGGTGAATTTGAAAATATTTACAGAGATGGTTTTGTGAATATGAAACTCCAGTCAGTGTAATGGCAGATACGATTGCTTTTCTACATCTTCCGTTTCACTTATCCTTGAGAAAGGAGACCTGATTTTGTACTTAATATTGATACTGCAAATCAAACCAAATATATTAAAAAAAAAAAAAAACAGTAAAGGAAACATTTTGATTCTTAGGCCCAAATATGCCACTGTTTGGGGCTTCTAATGTCAGTTTGACATTAGAAACCTGTGTTCTGTCATTATTATATGCTTTTTGATTACTTAGTAATCAATTGATGCAAATATTTATTGGAAAATATGTAAGAAGTAAAGTTGCATAATTAACCATAAATAAAACTGAATTTTCAAGCTTTTGATTTGTACTCTAAATGTAATATCTAATGTGGCTGTGTTGATATTGTCAGTAAAAACTTATTTTCGATACTTCCAGGCTCTCTGCAAAACTTTTCTCATTCTCATGAGCAAAATTATTAGCTATTACTGTCATTTAATTCAAGTGATATTTAATATTGCACTGTATTTTCCAAAGATCATGTTGCCTTTTTTTGCGTTTGCATTTTCCTTCTAGTTTTTTGCTGTGCCAACTAATGATACGGAGCCTCATTCAGAAACTTTGGATGACACAAATCTTTGGGTTCCCCTGGGAGAAAGTCATGAGACCTGGATCAAGAGCCTGACTAGTTGCATCCTGGGCAGCGGGGGTGTGCAGAGTGAGGTTCTGCAGTTAATGAAGCCGCTGTGTGAGGTAAGCCTGCACACAGGCACTTTGTGCAATGCCATACACAAAAGTATGTGGTGGCTGATGTTACTATTAACCAGCAATTTCTGCTATTAAATCATTATTTACCCTTACTAGGTATTTGGGTACTACGGACACCAATAAAACAAGTTCTTCAAATAAGAGATCTGAGAGATTTGCATTATTGTAGCTTAATTTTATATGACTATTTTAACTGAGTGCCAGTGTAACCTTGTTTAGTTTTTGCATATTTTGCATCATTTCTTAAGCAGTACATATTTGTTGGAGTATTTACCAGTTCTGTGTCTGGATTGACACCTTTTTTCTTTTCAGGTTTGTCATAAACTAAGGAAATAGAATGACAAATAGGCTCTTGAGTGTGCTGATAAGCAGAGAAAGAAGAGAGTTTGGTTCCTTTTCTCAGCAGCTGCTGTGCATGTGTATGTTCTAGGTGAAAACAGACTTGTGTCGAACTTTGCTGCCATACCTGATTCATGATATCCTCCTTCAAGACTCAAATGAATCTTGGCGAAATCTTTTGTCAGTGCAAATCCAGAAGTTTTTTACAGCCTGTTGTAAATTTGCCTCATCATCCAGTAGATCTACTACACCACCAAACTCCAGTTCAGGTAATGTCATATTTTCCTTCCGGCTAAAAGGGAGATTCTGATTGCAAAAAACTTACTTTGTTACTTTCTTCTGACATCATATATATGATGCAGATTTGTTTTAGGCAGACAGAATTTTAGAAACTTTTGTCCAATTGTTCACTATTTTCCTTTGGAGATACCAGTAATTTTGGAGCTGCTTGTTGGCAGGACCCAAGTACTTTCTCCTGTTTCTTTCCTTAGTCACAACTAGGCAATGTTTATTACTTGCTGAATTCAGATATGATCCAGTGTTATATACTGAAAGATTAAGAGCGAACTGTTTTAGAGTGTCAAGTTGATAGTTCAGTTTTTCCCATATTTGATTGGAGAAAGGCAGTTTTTGCCTGGATTCCTCCTGAAAAAGAGACCAACCTTCACTTCAGCTTCTGCCTAATGCTGGATGTAGTCTCCCTGCGCAGTCAAAAGACTTGTTCTACCCGAGCAGAGTAGAAGGGAGCTGTAATACATGTCAGCCTGACCTTGTCTCTGTTGTCTCTATTTGTAGAAGATTTGTATTTTTTTAACTGAATTAGTCTTTTCAAAGTGCATACTCAGTTATTTCTTCTGAAATGCATGCTGACACTGTGCTTGTCATTGGATCTGTAGTTCAGTACTGAAGAAAAAAAATCTTTTCTTCTGGTTTTCTTGGTCAGTGTCTTTCTTTCCCCCACTCATTGATACTTTGTGGAGCCCAAATATAAATCAGATAAAAATTTTCAGTTGTTCAACTGATCAAATTACAAAAGAGGAAGTAGAAATCTCTTTGGGGCATTGACTGTACAGTGCCAGGAGAATGGACCCTGGCTATTAGAGGTCAAGTCAATATTAGCAATTGGCACAGTGAGAATGGATCTGGAGAATAAAATGGCAGAGTACATGGGGTACTTAGACTCAAATGTCCCCATTCTGTGTGTTTGGACATAAAGCATGTGGAATATCCTCTGTGAGTCCTAGGTAACAGGAGAAAGCAGGCTTTGTTTTCCATTTGTTGGAAGCCACTAGATGCCCAGATATTTTTCTGTTGATGAGGTTTTTGGTTTATGTAGAGCAAATTTCTATATCTATAACAGGAGTTAAACCCTTGCTTACGCTTTTCCTATTTCATGCTTCTTCCTTTTTATCAATTAAAAATGTACAGAAAAATGAGGAAATTACTAACCTACACTGCCCAAATGACCAGAATACAATTAACAATAATCTGATTTTTTTTAACCAAGAAGTTAAACATGGACATGCAACTCATTAAGAGTATGCCTGTGTGTCTGGTGTTTTCTGTAAGTGTATAAGCGCATACATAGAAGCATACGCACTCCATAAATTCTAAAACAAAGCTACCGATCATGATTTCTGTAGCTTTGGAATACCTTTGTGTGGCTTGAGCATCAGAGAAAATTTCTGTTACCCAGTTTTGTGCAACAGTGTTGGAATTCCATAAGCAGAAAAATCACCTGCAAATTAGGAATGAAGAGTGAATTTAATAAAAACTGTAGTATAAACTACTATCATGGCAATAATTTCAGATAAGGAGGGAAAATAGAAGTAAGGGGTTTTGGATGAACTGTTAATTTAATATTGGAAATGCCATCCAGGAAAGTTGTTAGTGCTCTGCTGAGTACACAGACCTTTTATTTTTTATCAATGGATGTATTATGACACATGTTCATAATGTTCTCTCCTTTAAAATACACATACTAGAGCAAGAAAGCCATCTTTTTAGAAGCTTGGATAAAGTATCTCGAAGAACCATGCTTGCGGTTGTTGATTACTTAAGAAGACAAAAGAGGTGAATTATGTCTTTCCAAAATGTTGCTTTAACTTAATTATGCCTGTTCTTCTATGATCTATCCATGCTCTGGATTAAGGAAGCTAAATGTCACAGAGAGCATGTCAGTTAAAAGAATAGAGATATAGTAAGTGGCCTTTTATTTATTGCAGGCTCATTTAAAAGGGTCTGACGATGCTGAATGAGCCTTACAGGTTATTCTTTGTGTGACAGGCTTTATATGACATTGGTATGGATATTTGGGGATTTAGGATAAAGCCTTTTGCAGACTAATTTTATGGTTAGAATGTAATGTTTAATGTCAGAGAGCAGGTGTATTGCAACAATACTAAAATTTTTACCTGATCAGGTCTGTTTCAGGCACAGTTTTCGACGACAGCTTCTGGCTGGATCTGAATTACCTTGAGGTTGCCGCCGCAGCGCAGTCGTGCGCTGCTCACTTCACTGCCTTGCTCTATGCAGAGATCTATGCAGACAAGATAAACAGAGACAAAGAGCAGCAAAGGTACCAAACTGCAGGAATCCCCATGCTTGATATTCCATCCAGATGCATCGTGTGTATCTCAGCAGTGGTTCATTACAGGAAAAATCAAGGAAACTTTTACAACTCTGCTAGTTTGCTACCTGTGACCAACTCAAAATCATGTTATTCTGATTACTGACCAGCATGTGTTCTCAGTGGTGTGTGTCCTGGAGCAACTTGGTGAAAACTAATGCTTCTGGATACTAAAATCTGTTAAATCTTACTTTCTAGATGGGACATGTTCAGATTCTGTTTCTAATTCTAGTATGTTATGGCTAAATTATGTATAAAATGAAGCAAAGGGAGAAAAAAACTACAGAATCATGAACAGGGTTATGCCACTTGATTATTTCAGAACCTTTGGTGTAGAATGGAGTGGAGCTTTCGTACATAGTGTCCAATTGTCTTGGTCTTCTGCCCCAGGAAGAACCAAATACAAAACTAGCTGAATAGCTTTTTTTTTTTTTTTTGGCCACAGTGACAGTGAAGACATTGAGCTTATAACAAAAAATATGGTTGTAAGCCCAGATTCTTTTCATCCTCTCCTGGATGGGTAGATGGGTAGCTTCAAGTCTAGGCAAAGGCACTTTAAGAATTTCAGTTAGCTTTTCCTGTTCAAACATTTCTTGCAGGTCTTCTTTCAAAGCAGCTAAAAGTTTGACATTTGAGGAAGAAAGTCAAAAATCAACTATTACTATTCTGAATGAAAAAAGTAAAGAAGAAACTGGCATAAGTTTACAGGTATATATATATATGCTTGTTTAATAATATGAAAGCAAACCTTTCTAATATAATTCCAGTTAATAGTAGTTTTCATTTGAACTGAAAGCAAATTTGATTGAACGTTAAAAACTCTAGTTAGAAGTTTACGCTGTTCTGTATTTGAGAGTGAACTCAGTGGCCTTGATTGTCAAATTAAATTCATTATTTCTTCATTTGAAATGGTATTTGGTAAATTGTAAGACATAGTAAAATGGACTTTGCTGCCCAAACGAACGGACCTCATCAGCATAGCCAGCCAAATGGGGTGTTTGTTTTGTTAGAGAAAAATGAGGGAGTTGGTGTATAATAATAAAAAATGTATAATAATAAAAAATATAGTAATATAATTTACTGGAAGTCCACTTGCTACATAAAATCTGATTCAATAGCCCTAACTCATTTCTTTACATAGTTCATTGTTCCAAGACTGCATTCAGTTATTTTTAAAATACATTTCGCAGCTGACATGTCTGCTATCATTCAGTACTACTAAATTCTGATTTTTGACCAGTCTGTGTAGGGGGCAGTGGTGTTTTTTTTCGTATTGCACTAAAAGAAAATAGTTGTTCTAAAGACTTAACTTTAGTAGACTGCAGAGCTTAGTATTTCTTCCTGTGATGACAGCAGGTTCAGGTTTTGCATAAAGGAAAGTTAAACACTACTAGCAATATGTTACCTATAAGGACCTGCATCTAAAGCACCTTGATCCTATATATACCTGTGCTGAAATGATTCCAAAAAAAAGTTTTTCTTTGTTATGGTGTGTGTTTTAGGACCTTCTCATGGACATATACAGAAGTATAGGAGAACCTGACAGTCTCTATGGCTGCGGTGGAGGAAGAATGTTGCAGCCATTAGCACGGTATTATTTATTAATGTTCTTACATTCTTTGAAATCATTGTTTTCATTTGTTAGTAAGGAATTTAAATTGAAAATTTATTTTTAACTTACAACAGGATAAGAACATATGAGCATGAAGCAGTATGGGGAAAAGCCCTGGTAACATATGACCTTGAGACAAGCCTCTCTCCATCTACTCGCCAGGCAGGGATAATAGAGGTAATTTTCTTCTATTAGAGAAAATGTATATAGGAATCGATAATCCCTTGTAATCAGAAACATTTATAGTAAACACAAAATTGATTTAGGACTAAAAGAAGTCCAGTACCCTGTGATTACAGGCAGCCAAACTCTATAATATAAGGTAATCAAGTTTTGTCCTGGAACCACTAAGATTTCCTGGCCTCTTGCTACTCATAAACCCCATCTTGGGTCCTCAGCTTTGTGAAATACTTCAAAATAAATATATTAGATTTTAGTCAGAATTTGAATAGTTCATTAAATGCCAGGATGTAAAAAGTAATGTTTTGCCTTCTTTTTTTTTTTTAATCTTTACATTATTGACTGTCTTACTGTAGCTGCAGTATTTCAGATAAAATAGAATTCGTGTTGTCTCATTTTGATCGCTTACCAACATGTCACTTTTTGTAGCCTAAAATTGTTTATATCGGGTACAACATACCTGAGGTCCTATGTCCTGCATATCTGCATTTCCCTTCATTCCATTTTCCTATGGTACTTTTCCTGTTCTAAATTATTTAGCATCACTGTTTGACCTTCACTGCTTTTCTTTTTCGTGATGGTTGCACTCACTAACTGAATAAGTGATCGAGATGGTGCAATCACCAAAAGCTTCAAATGGAGAAGAGCTTAGAATTGTGGGAAACATTTTCAAGTCCTGTCAGGGTAAACAGTTTGTTAAGAAGTAAGATCAGATTTGACTTACTCTCAAGGAATGGTGAAATGGAGAAATGTAAACAGATGATTCACTTCAAACCCTCACTTTTTTGTATTTATTTAGTTAGTTATTGTTAAAGAATGCCAGCTACCGTAGTTGGGAAACCCTCTCTTGTGGCTGCCATGATCAGCAGTGTTGTCCTCTAATGTTCATATTGCTGAATTTAGAAATAACTTTGTTTCCGGCTTCCTTCAAAGGCTGTTCTAAAAAGAATAAAATAAAGAAACATATCAGATTATTAAAGGAAGAAAAGCAACTTTCAGTAATTTTGTGAATTACAGGCTTTGCAGAATTTTGGGCTTTGCAATACCCTTTCCACCTATTTAAAAGGACTGGAACATGAAAACACTGAATGGAGCACAGAGCTGCAGGAAATACACTTCCAGGCAGCATGGAGGAACATGCAGTGGGGCCACATCTCTCCAGCCAAGTAAGCCAGGCTGTTTTTTGCCTAGTTCTGTAAGTGAAAGACAGTGGTTTCAATTCCAAGCAAAAGGAAGATACTCTAATATAATTTCTAGGAACTGACCTGAACCATTGAGTTGCAGAGCAGTCTGTTTCACACATAGCTGTCCGGTTTGTGTGTGATTCTGTTTTTATTATCCTGGAAAGCTGTATGTTTTTATTTCTTCCTTTTGTCTGTTCATAACTATTTCTTAAATGCCCTTCCTAGTTTTTCGCTATTGACTCAGATCATAGATTTACCTTAAGTACAAAGGATAGAACCTTTTAACATTTAATTTTCAAGCAAATGGGAGAAAACATTACTTGTTAATCCATAAGAGGTCATCAAGGACTGAATAAGAAAATTTTGGTTCATGGCTGATGATTTTCCTTTTATTTTACTCTGTTTTATTTTTTAGAAGTGAGACAGGAGGACCAGGGTACCATGAATCACTGTATGATGCTCTTCAGTCTTTACGAGATAAGGAATTCACTGCTTTCTATGACATTCTTAAAGATGCCAGGTAAAAAAGCAGCTGTGTCAATATTCTGTTGTTAGGGAGATGTGTGTGTGTCTGTAGTTGCAAGTAATGAATACAAGACTATTGTAGGGTTTTGTGTTTTTAAATAAAGATTTATCCATAGAATAAGACTAATACTTCTGGGCTGTAATTCCATTTGTAGTTTTATTTTGGGTATTTTTGTCTCTTATGCATCCACAATTATTGTGTTAATGTGAGGTATGTCTCCTGCAGTATGCATCCCTTTCTTTGCAAGTCACTTACATAGAATGTCATTTGAATGCTGAATAGTATCTTTTAGATGAACTAATACATATTCTTTGGTATTTTTATAGGCTTACTATATTTTTGTTTCTTTTTTTTTTGGGTAATGCAAAGTAATTCTGAACTTAATAGTCTTGCTCCTTAGTTTCTGTGCACTATATGGTAATTATTGTGGGTATTTGGAATTATTTGTGGATATTAAAAAAAATCGCTGTTTAATCCCTAGAGTGAAGGAAGTTGAAGAACTGTGTAAGGGCAGCCTCGAGTCTGTGTATTCTTTATATCCAACTCTTTGCAGACTACAGATAATTGGAGAGCTGGAAAATACTGGACAGCTGTTCTCCAGGTATTTGTTTAAATTTGAAACATTTAATGTGTTTCATTCCATACTCCTTTTCAGTTCATAGGCCTAACAAGATTGTTCTCACTTTTTGCTATCACAGTTTTTTGTTTTGCTGTCACACCACCCTGAAACCAGTTAGTTTTAGTAACTTTTCCTATTTGCAGTTAATGTACCTTATAACAAAATCATACATACCAGTGAGAAACTACACAGCTCTAATGTCACATATTTGTATTTTATTCCCATTTTAATCTTTACATAGAATAAAAACATTATATAATTAAATAAATATCTTAGTCTTCTAATATTTTGTACAGCTCTGTAACTGTATGTAAGGGAATCACTTTGGTACTCTTTTTTAATACTTTTATTTTTGCATTTAATCAAGAATGGTTATAGTGGAATTGTTTCCCCTAACAACATTGATCCCTTGATCTTCGCGCTTTTTAAAAAGGGAAGCCCGCTCGCTCATTCTGCACATTCATCACTGCAGGCTTAAGGACTGTGTCTTGTTTTTGAATTGTAGATTGTGAACTACCACTTTAGGTTGCTTTTGCTGCTCATTTTGTACTTCTTTAAATAACGAGTGAGAATAATAACGGATCTTTTTCATTTTGGTGACGACTGCAGATCTGTTACTACACAACAGCTGAATGATACTTATGTGAAGTGGCAGAGGCAGTCGCTGCTTCTCCAGGACAGTGACTTCCGTTTCCAGGAACCTGTCATGGCTCTGCGCTCGGTAGTTCTGGGGATTTTGCTCGAAAAGGAGAATGAAAACACTAAAAGAGAATGCATTAAGGACATCCTCACAAATCATCTGGTGGAGCTCTCTAAATTGGCAAGAGCTGCTAAAAATACACAGGTAACAATTTTGAGGAAAAATCAGTAATTGATATTTAAGTTTTGAGTATATAAAGAACTTCATTAAAGATGAGCCATTCCAAGTTATATTCTAAGTTCAGTGAATCAATTGTGTGGAAGCTAAAGCTATGTGGAACTTAGGAGTTCTATTTGTGGGCATTTTTGTTCATAACTGTCAGTCTCTATGGAGCAGATAGTACTAAATTGGAATTTTTACCACAAAATGCCCTTACAGCTTTATCATTTTATTTTGATACAGTGGTCTATCTCCAGCTGTCAGTCACATAAAGTTGTTCTAATGTTCCCGCTTGCATATTCAGAAAGAACTCCTTTGTATATCAGGTGTTGCCTTCAAGGGATTATAAGTATATACTATGTATATAGTATATAAAGTACTTCAAAGTACCAAATATCTCTCTAGAAGGCCTGTTAGGATTTGGGTTGATTAGTGATGGCTGCCATTGTTGGTGCTGGGAACCCGTTTTAGGATCCCGAGTTTGCCCGGCCTTGTTGCAGCTAGTGCATGCGGAGCAGGAACTCACCAGGACTTACAGAGCAGCACCCTCTTCCTAACACCTCTGAAGGGAGTAATTCCAGCTAAACATTTTACCTAGGAAGCTGATTAACATTTCACCTATGCAAAAGTTTGTTAACATTTGCTTTCAGAATGCTTCCACCTGTTTTTGCGAATAATGATGAAATCAGTAAAATGTTTTGGATTTCTTTTGCCCAATGCCCTCCACCTGTTTTTGCGAATAATTATGAAATCAGTAAAATAGATGTTTTGGATTTCTTTTGCCCAATGCCTCCAGAATAGTTTGGCATATTTACTTAATTATTTTTTTTTGTCTCATGCCTACCCAGCTGCTAATATTGTAGTAATGGGTGTCCTGTAGGCACTTAAATAGAAAATCTGTTTTTTTTTTTTTCCTGTAGTCATGAGTGTCCTGTAGGCACTTGAATAGAAAATCTGTTTTTTTTTTCAGTTTGGCTTTTAGTTACAGAAAAATGTTAAGATTGGGCCCGAGCAAGTTTTTGAGGAAGCACACTTCGAAATTAATGGCTTTTCCTTTCTCCACATGGGTCCCAACACCAGCCATCAGTAGAGGGGCAGAAGTGCCATGCAGAGTCAGGACACTGAGCCTAGCTGAAATATTCTAATTCATGTTGTGATTCGTAGGCTTTCTTATGTTTTAGTTGCTTACCTTTTATAAGGTGATTATTTAAAAGTTTGATGGGTTTGACTGTCAGTTGGACAACGTTTGAAAACACATTTTAGCATCAGTCTTGAGAGAGGCATACAAATGAGTTAGGGCATTGTTTTTGTTTGGTTGAGGTCTCTCTGGATGTAGTTATAAATGATTTATAATTTTAGCTTAGTGATGTTGTAGTACGTAATGATTGTAGAATTTCTGTACCTTCAGCCTCTGAGTAATAAGAAATGTTAAATATTGATGCATTATTATGGGAGTTGTGAGGTTCAGTTCAGTAGCCTATTTTTGTTGCAAGCCAGGATTTTCCACAAAAAATATGTTTCAGAAAATATAACCTCATATTTCCTCCAAACATTTTTTAGCATTTAGCAATGCATTCAGTTACATTGTGCAGCAACTGAATATGCTGCACAAGTAGAGCAAGTTAATGATGGAGTTCAAACACAAAACTTGCTATAGCGAGATATGTGGATTTGACTTAAAGCATTGTTGATAATGATCTTATTTTGATTTTCAGCTTCCAGAGAGAGCTATATTTCAGATCAAACAATGCAATCCATCAAGATATGGGGTTTCCGAATGGCAGTTGGAAGAGGCTGAAGTTTTCTGGGCTAAAAAGGAAGAGAGTCTTGCACTGAATATCCTTAAAGGGATGATAAGGAAGTTAGATGCAGATCAGTTTCAGGTATGTGTTATGTAACGTATTGACTTACAGGAATTAAATAATTTGAAAACCTATTCTCACTTTCTCAACTTTTTCCACAGAAGAAAAAGAAAGGGCTAGCTATAATACTGCTAAACCTGTTCTGCATTCTTAAATGTCTGAAGGCAAAAAATCTGTATTAGCAGATGTTACTGGGGGATTTCAAAGTGCATCTGTAAAGGTGGCAGATGTTACAATCTATTACTCATTATTTTGCCTTCAGTGCCACCACTGTCAAGTTTATAGCTTTGTAAAATCAAAGATCGTTTCCTTTGATGCTGAAAGGTAATTAGTTTTAAACAAAGCTGTTACATGGACGTGTGTCTTCTTGAACTATAGCCATAGTTAAATGAACTAAAGGCTGAACGTGCCTATTTAGGCATAGCATGTTGGGAGTTGTAATAGGGTGCATGTTTTTGTTACAGGAAGAATAATATTAAGGTTTTAATCTCTGATCCTTATTGTGTAAAAAATGAATGTTAATAGAAAATCAGGCAAGAAGCATTCCTCGCCTGATGGCTGTGGGACATCCTTGCACACAGTGGGAGTATGAATTGGGGCTTCTATTTCAGGGAGCGTGAGGCTATATCACGAAGTTTGCAGAAATTTCAGGCAAATTTGGGGCTGATGAGCATTCTGTACTGTATGTTAGATGTTGTTGCATTTGAATTAGTCCAGTGTCAAAGAACACAGATGTGTATCAGAGATGCTCTGTCATTCCTGTAAATCTTCTCCTGTTTGTAAGTACCGTCTTATTTGCAAGGACTGTCTTCCATGCCACCTGCCAGGCCCCTGATATTAGGGCATTTTTAATAAGAAATACCTTTTCTACCTCTGTTGTTAGTTCAGTTATTTCATTTTTGAAGTAACCGTAGAACATTTGGAAAAATACAGTCTGGTCCTGGTGTAATTTTAATGGTTACACATTGGATAGTTATCACAGCACCTGAATTTTGCCTCCAAGGATGTGCACTGTGGGACTTCAAATGAAATGGGAGAGATGGGGAAAAAAAAAACACAGTTCTGGAAATATGCTATATATTTATGTAATATTTAATACATTTTATCAGTTTATTGTATTTTTCATTGTACAAACTCTCAGGTATTTAAAAATAGCTTATGCTTTTCTTTAGTCAAACACACAAAGTGATTTAAAGCTTTTGACCGCTATTGATGCGGATAGTAAATTACAGTAAAAAGCCCAAGTGATTAAAGTTTGTGTGGGAGTAAAAGTGTTTATAAATTGTCTATTTTTTATGTAGAAGATATTTTTTTATTTGATGCCACCTTCTTCTTTTTTTCCAAAACATCCTTTCTCAAAGGTTAATAAAGATCCTCATCTCAGGCTGGTGTATACGGAGTGTCTGAGGTTGTGTGGGACCTGGTTAGCAGAAACGTGCTTGGAAAACCCTACAGTCATCATGCAGAAATACTTAGAGAAGGTACAGGATTGTGTCTGAAATGTGCAGTCATTGAGATCAATGCTGTGCTAGAGATCAAGATATTTTATGATACAGACCTTAATTTTTCTGTATTGAAAATATGGATTCTTGTAAAAATACGATAAGCTTGTATGATGCTATATAATACTATAATCTTATAAAATATGTGGTATACAGCTTTACAGTATTCACAGTGAAATTTGTGTGATGTTCGGGTTGGCAGGTCAGTGATAGGGCCACTGTTTCCTCCTCCTCATCCCCATCCTTCGCTCTTCACTTTCTGGACTGATCGTTCACTAGATGGTGTTTTCACTACTGGAGTTTTGTTTGTAGCAGTCCGTAGTCAGGTGCTAGGAGGCCTTGTACTAATATTTCAAAATCCTGTAATCATTTTTTAACTTTTGCTAAGGAGAAAAAAAACATTTTTAGTACTGTTTGTCTACTGTGTCTTTCCTCTATTTCATGCTAATTTGTGAATCTTCATTTAGTTGCTTCTGCCTTTCCTGTTACCCACCACGTACCTTCTTCATACTGATAATTTGAATCAGTGACTTTCACTTACACAGTCTTCTATTTTTGGCACTTTATCAACTGTCTCCTATTTTTTCATCTTGTCTCATGATGTAAACTTTTTAAAGCAAAATATCTTTGTCTTGCTTTGAAACTTCATGTTCAGTTACCCTGAAAGGCAGAAGGCTGTAGGAAACCTCTGTGCAGCTGTTAAAGCTATTCCAAATACAGTATTTTTGACTCTTGACACTGAAACACTCCTCAAGAATTAAATTAATTTAGAAGAATATTTAGTACAGTAGGTTTTATTTTGTATCCATATATTACATCATGAGAGGCAGTATTAAATAATGAAGTTTAATCATTACGCAGTAAAGTTTAGTTATAATGATGATCAATCAGCCTTATCATTGTTGTAACTTCCCTTTAGGCTGTGGAGATTGCTACGAGCTGCAGTGGAGAGGACAGTGATGAGCTGAAGAAGGGAAGGATGAAGGCTTTCCTCTCTCTGGCTCGCTTCTCCGATAATCAGTACCAACGAATCGAGAACTACATGAAGTCCTCGGAGTTTGAAAATAAGCAGGCGCTCCTGAAGAAGGCCAAGGAGGAGGTTGGGCTCCTGCGGGAGCGCAGAGTTGAGACCAATCGGTGAGCACTCAACCAGAGCTGGTTGCTGTGGAATAGTCTAAGGCCTGTGGCCTCTCGCGAGTGAGCCAGCAAGGCTCACATCTCAACAGCTGGATTTTAAAATTGAAAATAAGCAATACTGGGCTTGCGTAGATATGCATCGAAGGAACAGCTGCCCCCACTTGGTTTAACAGTCTTTTACTGTGCTCGTTCGTGCAAAGCAAGTAAAAAAGACTATTAAATTTACAAAGAAGAGAACTGCAGACAGCTTTACTGTTAGTTCATTAAGAAAAAAAATCTGTTGTTTAATATATATATTTATCTTTTTGCATAGATACACAGTGAAAGTTCAGCGAGAGCTTCATTTGGATGAATGTGCCATACATGCCCTAACTGAGGATCGTAAACGCTTCCTGTGTAAAGCAGTGGAGAACTATATCAGCTGTTTGCTAAGTGGAGAAGAGCATGACATGTGGATATTCCGACTCTGTTCCCTATGGCTTGAAAATTCTGGAGTCGATAGAGTCAATGAAATGATGCAGGTAGAAGTCTGTGGCTGCTTTTCTTCATTGTGCTTTTAACTGAAATTACCCATCTTTCTTCTCCTCCTCCTCTATCTTCTTTTCATGATACCTGTGTTTCTAGAAATGGAATTACAGTGCAGTGCAGTACCCTTTCTCATCTATCTCCTTAACTTTTCCCTCAAAACTTTACCCTTTCACTTATCATTGCTCATAATTTAGATGCTATCAGTAACAACGTATTTTTCACTGCATCCTACAGTATAATTGAACAAGTCTCTAAGATCAAGCATATCTCATGACCTTACACTGTTCTCACCTTGTTCTTTGCACACCTTTGATACCGTCTATGCCTTTGTGAACATCCTTGGCTGTGTTATGTCTGGTTTGTATTGGTTATACTTTCAAGTGCATAGATCTGTTTTTAGACTATCTGTCTGTGCACTAGGGGGGTCCTAACTCAGATTGACTCTGTCATCTCTACCATGAGCCAGCCTATCTGTTAATTCTTACAGGAATGACATGCTTTGATTACTGATACCTATTTTATTTTTTGCATCTCTTTATAATTAACGTCAAGAAATGAAAAGTATTCCTTTGCTCATAGTTTTAACAAACAATTGTTTCTTTCCTTAAATTAGATTCAGAAATTTTGGATTAGGATGCTCTCTCACCATTTGTTCATGCAGAATTTAGCAATGCTGTTTGAACTTAACGTGTCTAAGCTCTGCTCTAATAATAGAATGGCAAACACCACTGTTCTCCTCAAAGACTTCTAGTGCTTAAGAGATGTGAACCAAAATGATGTGATAGTTACTGTGTTGCCACTTGATCACCCAGCAGTGCTTGCTTTCAGTTAAAAAAAACATTGCTAATACTCAGTATTTTACGATTACATTTGTTTGTCAGGTTTTTGTTTTGTTTTGTTTCTGGTGCAACTTTCTAACTGAACTTTCTTTACCGTAGAAAAATGCAGAGAAGATTCCTTCCTACAAATTTTTGCCTCTGATGTATCAGTTGGCTGCTCGAATGGGAACCAAGAAGATGGGTGGCCTAGGATTTCGTGAAGTTCTGAATAGTGTAATTCATGCTTTTTATTTCAGAAGGCATTGTGATTGATGCCTGCTTTTAAACAATACGTGAATCTTCCTTTGTATATGAGTTATGTAACTGATAGAAGCTTCTTAAAAATGACTGATCAAAATGAGTATTTTTGTTAAGAGAGGAGGAGGGTGGGGACTTTTATCTTTGCTGTCTTTATGAGCTTAATGTTGTCCAAGAATATGCTTATGTAGGCACAGGAATTACTTTAATGTGCTATGGAAAAATCTCTTAAATTATATTATTACTTTCATTTCTTATGAAGAGCTATAGAAGCTTAAATTAATTATGCTACTTAAGTATTTTTATTTCTTCTCCTCAGCTTTTAATACTGTGATCTTTTTGTTTTTCTTGGCAGCTAATATCTAGAATTTCACTGGATCATCCACATCATACTTTGTTTATAATACTGGCTTTGGCAAATGCTAACAAGGATGAACTCCTGACAAAACCACAATCAATAAGAAGAAATAAATTAATTAAAAATGCACCGAAAGAAATCTCCCAGCTTGATGTGGTAAGCAGAAGAATAAAAATTGCATTCTATTGATCACATTCATTTTTGTATTAAATATATATATATATGTAATATATATGTATATATTGTGCATAATGCTATTATTGTGTATAATGCTATTGTGCATTTTCATCTGATAAAGCATAGTTTGCAAAATGGAGTGTTTGTGTTTTATTGGTCTTTTTAGGACCGAATGGAGGCTGCCAGCAATATAATCAATATTATAAGAAGGAAGAGCCCTCGTATGGTTAGAGATGTTGAGGCACTTTGTGATGCTTACATCACCTTAGCAAACTTAGATGCTACTCCATGGAGAACTGAAAGAAGTAAGGCTTGGAAAGGGTTTTTTCTTTTTACTTGTAGTGAAGAGGTATATTTTTTCTTGGACAAAAATTAATACTTTTTAGTATTCAGTTAAAGGAGATGATGTGCCAATACTGTCCTACTCCTGATAAATGTAAAACTTAGTTGGTTTAAAAGTCATAGGAATGCACTTGCACTGTAGGATTCGGACTTGCTGAGCATGAAAGTCCAGAGAGCTCCTGTGATTCCCATGAGCTCCTCCTAGGCAGCAGTGTGCAGCGTGGGTCTGGGTCCTCAACTTACCAATGTAACCTGGGTTTTGTGAACTTTGATACCTGCTTATAATTCAGAATTTAAAGTCATCAATTCCTTTCAATTACAGAAGGGATAAGAATTCCAGCAGACCAGCCAATTATTAAACTGAAGAACTTGGAGGATGTTGTTGTTCCCACCATGGAAATTAAGGTAACTGAAATTGAAACAAATATACATAATAATATTGTGTCTTAAAATCAGTTTCTACTTTTTATAATGAGAGTTGTAGCTTATAACACTTCATCAGACTCCTGTGTTCTTTAGAGGTCAGCCTTGATAGCTGGGGTATTTTCTTGTGGGATGGGAGATGCAAGGTGAAATCCTTCCCATAGGCTTAACAAGACCTTGAACGTAACTCATATCCTGGATAATTGCTTCTTATGAGAAGATGGTTTTTCCACTACCACTGTTACCACTGGCTAGTCTTTCATTATGAAAAGGAATGATGAGATCCCTAAATTCCCAGAAAGGATCCAGGACCTCGAATCTCTTACTCTGCTCAGAGTTCCTCAGGGCTTGGAGGAGACACTTAATGTCTAGAAATTCCTGCAGTTCAACAGCTGTGTTTCCTTTTGTTGTATCTAATTGCCCATCTCACGTGTTTTACTATTCAGTAATGGTAAATTACCCATTCCCATCTGTGTAAGTTTTGGGACTGGGCACCCCCTAAAATTTAAGTGTTAGGATACTGAACTTCCTGCTTTTGAAGTCCCCCTGCCTTGTCTGTAAGGCTGAATAAACCAGGGCAGGGAACACGGTTCGGCCATTTGATCAGAGGCCAGAAACCTTCACAGCATCTGGCTGTTCTTCTCTTGGCCCCAAGTGTTGCTGCTTTGTAGGATGTGATCGGTGTTTTCCCTGCCTTTCTTTCCCACTCAAACTGCCTAACCAGCAAGAGAGTTAAATGGGATGTAAACACCTGGAGCAGTATTTCCTAGCAGCTGCCTCAGTGGGGTTGCTCGTGGCGTGAGGAGATGCAGGGCAGCTGCAGATGGAGCAGTGGGGCAGAGTTTTAGGGCTGTAGTTGGTGCGCGTTAGTGACGCTGCCGAGCGCGAGCGGTTCCTGGTCGGCTGCGTCCCCCGGGCACCAACGTTGTCTGCGAGGCCGGGATTCGGCACAGGCGGAGAGGGTCTGGGCTCCCCAGGGCGAGAGGGACGGGGAGCTTCTAGAGAGGGTCCAGCGTAGAGCAACAAAGATGATGAAGGGACAGGAGCATCTATCATATGAGGAAAGACTAAGCGAGCTGGGTCCATTTAGCCTGGAGATGAGAAGATTGGGAGAGGATCTGATCAACATGTGTAAATACCTGAGGGGTGAATGTAGGGAGGATGGGGCCAAACTCTTCTCAGTAGTGGCCAGTGACAGGATGAGGGATAACGGGTGCAAATTGAAACACAGGAAGTTCCATCTGCATGTGAGGAAGAACTTCTTGATTGTGAGGGTGCCAGAGCCCTGGAACAGGCTGCCCAGAGAGGCTGTGGAGTCTCCTTCTCTGGAGATCTTCCAAAGCCGCCTGGATGCCACCCTGTGCCACGTGCTCTAGGTGTCCCTGCTGGAGCAGGGGCTGGACTAGATGATCTCTAGAAGCCCCCTCCAACCTTAACCCTCCTGGGATTCTGTGATTCTGTCTCAGAGCTTGTTTGGTGGCAGCTGGCAGCACCAGGTCCCCTTTACGAGGGAACTGAAGAGCCGGAACCCCACTCACTCCTGTGTTCTGGTTTATGTTTGTCTTGGTTTCTAGTAACATGTATGTATGCAGCTTTACAGCTTTTCTTGGTGTTTCCCTTGTAGATACTCACATAAATGTTTAATATCTTGTCTACTAATAAGGCTTCCAAACCTCAGGCTATTAGCCTCTCTCTGAGGAAGGTGGAGGTAATATTTATAATAATTTTAAACTACATTTATAATTTCAGGTGGATCCCATGGGAGTCTATGAAAATATAGTGACAATAAGGTCTTTTAAGCCAGAATTTCGCTTAGCAGGAGGTGTGAATCTGCCTAAAATAATAGACTGTGTAGGATCGGACGGTAAAGAAAGGAGGCAACTGGTGAAGGTAGGTCCTGTGAGCTGAAAGGACATTGCGGAGACTTGGCATGTTGGAATTTTGAGTTCATGTGTCATTTTTCTCATATACTGCTCCTGTACCCCACGCAAACTTTTCAGTGTCGATTTTATCAGTTCAGGAATATTCTAATAAAGGAAATTGCAAGAGGTCTCGTAATACAGTACATTTTTAATAATTATCTTTCATCAACATGTCTGTGTACAGTAATTAAAGAGATAATTACCAGACATGCTGAAGGTGAAGTTGTGTCTCAACTAGTGACTAGAATATACAGCAAGTAAGTTATGTGCATTTTATATTAAACACCTCCTTTATTACCCCCATATGAAAAGGATTATGTTTCGGAGACAGTTTGAAAACATGTATATGGGCAAACAGATTTCTAAACCAAAATTCTTTCTCTTTAAACTCAATGAATTTCACTGTGTTCATCTCTGATGCCTTTATAAACGTTTAGCAGCTGGTGGGAAAACTTTGCATTGCTCTTAAGTATGGGGAGTACTGAAAGATTGAAGGGGATGCATGAATCTCTACATGAGATTTCCCTCATCAGAATTGCAGTACCAGGACAGCTGCTTCCGATGTGTGCTGCATTGGTAAATATGGTCAATGAAAGATTTAAAAACAAACTAACAAACAAACACTACTATTTATTATGTATATTGACTTAATCTTTAATCAAATGATATTTGTCAAAGAAGATTATGATGGTGATAATTTAAGTTGATGGTTCTCTTTAAGCAACTGAGCACTACCAGAAAACCAAACATTAAGGAAAAGCAAATGTTAATTACATTTTACTGCAGGAGATGATAGTGGAAGTGTAAGCTGTGTTTTGTGGATTTTTGGAGTAATTTCTTAAATTGGGGAAGTGGTTGGATGCTGACAAAATGTGTTTATGTGTTTGTTCTAAAGGGACGTGATGACCTGCGACAAGATGCTGTCATGCAGCAGGTTTTCCAGATGTGCAATACGTTGCTGCAGGAAAACACTGAAACGCGAACAAGAAAATTAACCATTCGGAGATACAAGGTAGCCTTGAACAGCAGAGGAATAAATGTTGCTATTATAACTTCTATTCCCACTATTCTCTTTTTAACCCAAAGGCAATATAAAAGTGTGTGTGTGTGTATATATATGTATATATATGTGTGTATGTATGTGTATATATACGCGTGTATATATACGCGTGTATATATACATACACACATATATATACACACACATGATGTGAAAACAGTCACCCCTCCCTAAGGTTTGGAGTAAACTCAAAATAATTGTCAAAATTTATTTTTTCAAGTCAAAAAAAAAATCTGCTACCCCAATATGTGTTTACATTCAGGTTTAAGTTTGTATAACAGAAGCAGGCCATGCATCTTTGAATTGCAAGATGGTGGTCATTAAACTTGGGCATACAAACTTGTTCAAGAATTCTTGTTAATTTGGGTCTTGTGTCTTCCTTTCAGTCCAGAATCCTGTCTAGCGTCTACTCCTGCAGGATTTGAATTGCAGAGCTGTTGTTGGAATTAGGAAAACAAAACAAACAAAAAATGCAGAAATGAATGCAATATTTGGACATGTACTTTTTCCTTTTCCTTCCTTTTTGGATATTTAGTACGGGTTTTGTGTTCCCAGGTGGTTCCCTTCTCCCAGAGAAGCGGCCTTCTCGAGTGGTGCTCCGGCACGACGCCCATCGGAGAGTTCCTGGTGGGCAGCGCGGGAGCTCACCAGAGATACAGGCCGAAGGACTTCTCCATTTCCGACTGTCAGAAGCTAATGATGGTGAGTCACCGGGATGGAGGAGAACTGCCTGGCTCCTGGCCTGGCTACAGAGGGACTGTTCTTTCTTTCCTAGATACTTCAAGAGACAACAAAGTTTTGCTTTTAGCATGTAACAACGAAAACGAGCAGGGGCAGGGAATTAATTCATCTTCTCACCAGCCTGGGGAGACTTGTGTGTGAATGAAATTTCAAAATGAAAATTACCGAATAAGTGACTGTTGCTGAATAGAGCTGAATCCCCAAGAAATCTGTTTGAATTTCTAGAATATTCTAGCATATAAATCTTTTGGAATTCCAAAATGATCATAATGGAGGCCTGGCAGAGTCAGTATAAAGTTATCTTATACTCGCCATGTTTCTCTTTAAATATTTAAACATCATTTTGCTTTCATAAATAAACCAGAATTCCAGAATTCCCCTTAAGTACCGACCCTTGCAAATAAAAGCATTGTTTTATAATGCAGCTGGGATGGATGTAACGTCCTAATTGTTGTGGGGCAGGGGAAGGGCTCTGGCTGCTCCTCCCGTGCGCAGGAGGCGGCCCAGCTCACCGTGAGGCAGGCCAGGGAGCTGCGCTACAAAGAGGCAAGTTTTATATAAGCTGATGGAAAATATATATATATTATAAATATATATATATATTTATATATGTATATGTGTGTGTGTACGTAAGAAAAGCAGGTCCATCCCCTGCAGAGGCAGCTCACATCCCTCGCCACGTTCTTGCATGATCTTCACTTCAGGCCAGGTGCCACTCACAGACACCCCTGCACTGCAGGGACAGCGAGTGGTTGCAGCAGGGCACTGCAAACAGTTTTATCTGGTACCTTAGAGCCAGGGCAGGGCGAGACATTATTTCCTTTTAAATCTGCATTTATTAACAGCATAAGTATTTATTCAGCTTTAGTATTTCATTGAGAAGAATGGGAAAAGAGTTTATGTATTTCTTTTAAAGAAAGAGGTAATTTCCATCCAAACCAGTAAATCATGGGGAAAATATTTCTTATATATTTAAAGGATGCACAAAAGAAACATTCTGACGAGAAATACAGTATCTTTATGAAAGTCTGCGAGAATTTTCAGCCCGTGTTCCGTTATTTCTGCATGGAGAAGTTCCTGGACCCAGCGGTGTGGTTTGAGAAGCGGCTGGCCTACACCCGCAGCGTGGCCACGTCCTCCATAGGTACCGCGAGCGCCCGCGGCCCCTCTGCTCGTAGCGCAGCCGCTGCACGGTGGATTATTAACGGGGTCTTCTTAATGTTATGAAAACGGAGAGTTTATGCCCAGTGGTTGTTTGACTTTTGTTCTGTGTCAGGGCTGCCCGGGGGACAGACTGGCAGCCTGGGGGACAGGCCAACAAAATGGCAGCATTATTTTTGTATTTGAAGTTTTAGGGTCTCTTCTCCTCCATTTTCCTCAGTAGAAAGATGAAGTGAAATGCTGTTTGGTTTTTGTTTGTTTGTTTTATGTGTATTTTTAGGTCTGGAAAATTTTGAAGTATTTTACCCACCTGATTCTGTTGATTCACATTTAGCACCCACTCATTTTATCCGTAGCCTCAAATGTTTTAACAGAATTGAATCTGAAAAGTTGGGCATTTACTTTCTGCGTGCTCACTTCATTGGCAATGGCTGAAATAGTTTGTTAAGCTTTGGCATTTTTCCTTTGATTTTTCCATCATATTGTTGTATACTTCTTTTTTTGATACAAAAAAAAAAGAATATACAATTTAACAGAATTCAGATGAAGGCATTTGACATAAATTACTGTGTTCCATGGCCATAAGAGTATAAGAAACAGAATCATCTCAAACTGCAGCAAGCAAGATTTGACAATTTTGCAAGGATACTACATGCAAGGGTAGTAAAACGCTGGAATGAGCTTACCTGAAAGGTTTATAACTTGAGTCACCAGAGATTTGTAAAGCCAGGTTAGACAGGAATGTCTCAGAAACTGTTTAGGTGTAGGGGAGCTGCCTCAACTGAATTCTGTCTAGACCTGTTTTATGGTTATAGAAGTTACAAAATTTTCTAGATAACCTCCTCTTTTTGGATTTATGGAATGACATTTGCTCTTCTCTATTGGAATAATTTGCATACGTGGGAAAAGAAATATTCCTTTCACTTTTTTGTTTACATGTGTTGCACTGATTCTAGTAATCTTGCCTTGGTCACATTTTCCCCAGTTTTGATGGTATATAACTATGGTTCCAGCACTTAAATTTCATTTTTCAATAATCTTTCTCTTTTAGTTGGCTATATACTTGGACTTGGAGACAGGCACGTTCAGAATATTCTGATAGATGAACAAACTGCAGAACTGGTGCATATAGATCTGGGTGAGTGGAAGAGAAAAGAGAACCTTCGTTTTTCATTACCTAAACATTTTTAGAAACATTTATTATCCCTTCCTTTAGGGGTTGCTTTTGAGCAAGGTAAAATCCTTCCCACTCCAGAGACGGTTCCGTTTCGACTAACGAGGGACATTGTGGATGGGATGGGTATCACTGGCGTGGAGGGGGTCTTCAGGAGGTAAGTGACCCTTCCCCGCGCCGGCCCACGGAGGCAGCCGGGGACTTGGGCACCAGGAGTTTTTATGTTACACCCTTAAGATGCTTGAGAGGAGGCTGCGATTCCTGACGGCAGCGCGCAGACCTGATGCTGTCCTCTAACAGCTCATGCACTGTCAGCTACGTAACCAGCTAGGGATTTCACTGCAGCTGCCCCCCTTCTCATCATCTAGCAGGTCCTGTCGGGCTGTGGGGGCATTCAGGAATGGCTCAGTGCTCACAAAACTGAACTTCATCCTCTCAAATTAACCTGCTGGCGTTTTTTTCCTTCAGAATTGTGGCCAGTTGGCTATTCAGTTTCTTCAAACCATTTTGTTCTGCCTCTTCTATTTCTGCCCATTTTTATGCAAGTAATTTAAAGTCTTTTTTCCTCTGTGAGTCACACACTTCCTACGATGTTTCACGAGCAAAATGTAAATCCTGCAATAGATTTGAGCTGCATCAAACTCCATCCTATCTCCTGAGAACGACCCAACCTCTGAAAAGCAGAGCGTTTCTTCAAGACTTTCGCAATGTTTATGAACTGAGTACTTGCAGACTCTATATGTCCCTTGAAGACAAAATCACTGCCACTTAGGTTCTAGCCATAAGTGCTGCCAAATTCCCCATTTCAACTCTTCTGAAACTTCTTCACGGGAATATAGGAATTGTTTGGCTGCATCATAAGCAAACACAGTGTAACAGGCTGCTGGGGCAGATACTCTTAGTTCCTCAGCCATGGGGGTTTGTGGTGAACTGTGTAGGTGCATCAGCAAGTGCCCAGGCTGGGAATGTGATAACTGTGACGGGGTTGTTCCCCTGCTGAAGTGCACAAGGAGGCTCTCATCCCCCTTTCGCTAGGAGCGCTTGTTCCCTAAGCGCCCGACTCCTTGGACAAGGTTCCTTGAGTTGGGGGCGAATGCAGACAACCCCTTCTGTGTCTAAGGTCCCTGGAGAGGCTTCAGGAGTGAAGATTTAAGGAATAAACCAGTCTCGTTTGTAAGAAACTTCTTGCTGCCCCAGCTTGGTGTCTGAGCTACCGCATCTGCTGCTTCCCACCAAAGCTATTTCTGAATTTCTTCTGTATTTTTTTAATGGAAACATCAGAGATGATTTTCGTATGATAGAAATAATCTGTAGAAAGAGATAAATCTTTTATTAAAATAATGAAAATAAGGTTCAGTTTTACCAAAAAAAATCCAAAAATAATGTTAAGTATTTTCTAGGTGCTGTGAGAAAACAATGGATGTTATGAGGAATTCACAAGAAGCTCTGCTGACTATCGTAGAGGTATTTTTTTCATGCAGATGCTAAACTGAAAAAAAAAAAACCTTTGATTTCCTGTCTTTTTCCAGCTCTTTATCTTCATTGTTGTTGTAATTTAGTTCCATAGCTTTGTTCAGATTTGTTAATTCATGTAGTCCTCAAGGAAATCAAGACCAGTTTACATTTTCTAAGGGAACTTTTTGTGTCAGGCTTATGCTTAGTTTTCCCTCCTCAGTACCCGGAAGTTTGTATTTATAGCTACAGGACGACATTCCCAGGATGGCTAGTGACAATTTAATTCAATTCTCTTTGTCTAAGTCTTAAAGAAGAGAATTAAACTTATTTTTAAAACCTCTTAGGGTCTGCATTAAGAATTAATAGTGATATTTAGTGGCTAGAGATGTATTTCAAAATAGCATCTTAATTGTTGAGCGTGACTGAGTGGCAAAAATGAGCCAAGTATGAGGAATTCAAATATTTGCAAATGACCAGAAGTTGTTTTATTTTGCACCATGTGCTACACAACGCCGCCCAGGGCGGCTGGATTCCCCTGCCCAAGTGTGCTGCTGTGGTTAGTGTGTGCGTTACTGCTGCTCACTGAGCGAGCTGGCGTTAACAGTGTGAATTAAACGGGTGTTTATTTGCTGTGTAGGTGCTGCTCTACGATCCTCTGTTTGACTGGACCATGAACCCTCTGAAGGCTCTGTACCTGCAGCAGAGGACAGAGGACGAGGCCGACATCAGTTCTACGCTCAATGCTGATCCACAGGAATGTAACAGAACAGCCAGGTACAGCAGCACCGGCTGCTTATGGACTGCTCGCTGCCCTGCTGCTTTGCTCAGCAGTTTTCTCCTGAACGTTACTTTGTTCAGGATCCCTAACGACTCCTCTTTTTCACCTTTTATTTTTTTTTAACTCTTCCAGCAGCGATGATCAGAATTTTAACAAAGTGGCCGAGCGTGTCCTGATGAGGCTTCAGGAGAAGCTGAAAGGTGTCGAAGAGGGAACAGTGCTCAGCGTGGGAGGGCAGGTGAACCTCCTCATTCAGCAGGCCATGGACCCTAAAAACCTCAGCCAACTTTTTCCGGGATGGAGAGCCTGGGTGTAACTCTAAAGGATCTCATCGTTTTTTTTTTTAAAAGCTTGTTTTTAAGCAGCTAATGCCTTAACATTTCAAATTGTTATTTCCTAGAGAAAATATTTCATCAGCAGCAACAGTGAGGTTTACGTTAGGTTATTAGGTGAATTGTCTTTCAGTTGCTTGTTACGAAGTCCGCGTGTTGTCCCCACGGTTGTGCTCACCGGGCAGTGCAGGGCGCAGCCACCGCTCCGTGGGGCCTGCAAGGCTGGTGACTTTGCTGGGGCAAAGCGGGTGCATAGTCTCCGTTAGCCTCTGATCCCTGGCCTTTGTGTGGCCTCAGGTAGCTGCAGGCTCCTAACTAGCTCTGCGCGGTAGCCAGCGCTGGAGAGTGGATCACCTGGAAACCCCAGGTCATGAAAGCAGCAGCCAAAGAGCATTTCAAAAGTGTCTGTGTGTGGGGGGGATACCTTAAAGATAACGCCACACTGATACTCCTGTGTTCTTTTATACTTTCATTAAGTATCTCACCTTTAGTGAACTGAAGCTTCTTGGGGTTTTTACCCAAGTTAAATGGACATTTCTTAATACCCATAGGATCCCTGAGCCAAGCATAAAACAGTGCTGCTCTTTTTTGCCATTGTAATTGAAATTATGTTGGTATTTTCTCTCCATAACATGTCTTTAATAGCATAAAACATAAAAAATATATTTAGTTCATTTAACTCAAACTTCCATGATAACATAGGCTGACTATGCTGTGAAATTCAGCATTCCAGATCTGCACATCTACAGCAAATAAATGTTTCTATATCTGGAATAAACCCTGGTCAGAAACAGTGGACCTGTATTTTGAATACAATTGGCTTTCCAATTACATAGTTTTACAGAATACATTGCCTGTGTGAAAAAAACCTAATGTAATTGGATAGTCAGTGGATACAGGCAATAAAAGAATCTACTCAAATTGTCTCCATTACCCAAGTAAATCTTGCCAAATCATTCTCATATTTAAGTATGAGGAAAGTTCAGCATACTGTAACACTATCCTAGTTTACACTTTATGCATTTTTACAGTGGTGTAAATGAATGATTTTGTTCTAACTAGCATTTCATTGATTTGTATTTGTACAGTCAAGTTCCATTTTTGTGCTGAACGTTTTGTTTTGTTATGTTAATGTCAACATAGCGAGATGAGCCTTTTGCATTATGTTTTCATGAAGCTGACATCAATTTTTGTTGATGCTGGGACCCAAACGTGCACCTCGGCCTTTCCCTGGGCAGAGCTCCCATGCAGCAAACCCCAGCGCGCTGCCTGAAGAGCAGCTTCCTGCATCCACTTTGAGGGACATTTAGGACAGGGAGAAATGACAAATGGGAAAGGACTCCACAAAAAGTACTTTAGAGTTCTTGCTTTTAAACAGTAACTACCAAAGACTGCTAATTATTTTTGTTCTAATAATTCCTCAATTTTAAAAGTCAGAATTACAAAAGTGAATACTTTGCAGAAATCTATCTTTTAGACTCACACGTAAATTTGGGCCTGAGCCCAAATATGGACCTGAACAGGAAATATGGGCCTGAGTGGAAATCCTGCTTTATTCTAGACAAGGGTTTTGTTACAAGTGCTACTACTGAAGATAACGTGGGTCAGTAGAGAGAGGTTGTAGATTGAGACTCAGAGATTTACTATATTAGTAAGCTAGAAATACGATGAGCTCAGTCGCCTCTACAGTTTTTTTTTTTTTCTTGGAGTGCTCTGTACTTATTTCAAAGATCTACATTTAGAAAAGAGCATTTCTAAGAAAAATGAGCCTGTGACATGATACAAAGCAGAAGCATTTTTAACAGATTCTGATTTTTTTCAGACAGATATCTTTCTTTATAGGAAATTATTTGTTTCTGGTCTAACGTATGTTGGACAAATGTCCTCAACAATGTGAACTGGCTAAGTTAAAACGTTAGCAGATGAACCGGATGGACTGGGGAACAGTCTGAGCGTCTCCATCAGCAACAAAAACTGTCTGGGGACCAGGAATGAAAGCGACCGTTTGGAGAGGAATGTGCTATGTAAATAAAACGAGTCTTCATCATCAATGTGAATCTGAAACCTTTGAAGGTTCTTGCGGGTAAAACTGCTAGGAAATCCTTTTGCCAATAACTGAATTGATTAGGTGGCTGCTCTGTGTTACTATGAAACTGTTAATATATGAGATGTATTTACTAC